TTCGGCCACTGTTGAACAACCTTGCATGTACATGAATAATGAACATAAATGCATGTATGAGGGGGGCACAATGGGTAACCTTTCATTTCCGCCCCAGGCTAAAGACCTCAACCAACAATACGAAGACCACTACCTCAAGAGTAGAGACATTGATGGGCGACTGTTTTTTGACGGAGATGAGACGGTTCTTCCTTCTAAATTGGAGATGTAATTTTCCTCTCTTCTTCACAATTGAGCGTTTTGATGTCGGTCGGAGTAAATCGGGTGAAATAATCGCCGGCCGCTGTTTTCAGATTACAGGAGGAGAAAACCCCAAAGAAGAACCTGCCAGATGAAGAAGTACTCATTCCTCCACAGACCCCAATCAGGTGAGCAGTTACTCACCTGCTGAAACGGGAAGACTCAGCGTGGTTACATGGATTCGAATAACTGTCAGACTGAAATCGAATTATCCGCTTCATGTAAACCCCTTTGTCCGACTATGTGCGGTCCGATTACGATCCAACTAACACCCCTGGATAACTCGATCCGATCCAGTTGATAGTTCGACTATTGCGGCATGTAACGGTGAATCGGATAAGGAACTGGACTTGAGATGCTTGAGATCCCAACGGCGTCTTCTCTTTGTTATCAAATCAGCCAATAGCACCATTCGCATTCGCTGTACTCCTATTAACATCATGCAAAAATAGTAGAGGGATGTAGCTTCACCTTGCTCTCCGTTCGCCATCTTTCTCGAAATGTTGATGTTGTTGTTGTTGGTAGTGGTGAAGCGGTCAAGCGGAAATGGCTGTATCACAACTAGTTGTAATGAAAACAGCGCCACCTCTCGTATCGGATATGACATGCTTTCGGCCAATGATTCGATTTATTCACTGCCATGTATATTGGGATAATAGCACTTGCCCCGAAAGATAGCATAGTCCGACTAAGCCATTCATTGGGGATTGTTCATTGTGGTATTTTCTAGGTTCATGTCTTCCCTTCAGCCCTTTCTGATTGTATTTATTTATTATCAGAACTGTCATGACTTCCATTCGGGACCTGAGGGGGGATCTCACCTCCAACGGCGATCAGCCATCTAATAACCTGGCTACATATTTCAAAGTAAGTCTCTACGAGTAATGAACGCCAATTTGAAATGTCCCATTAAACTTTTTCTCATGTATTTTTCCGTTTTTTCTATTTCTTGTAATCAGAACTGCACCGTGGACCCGACGCAGGATGTGCTGAAGCGCTTGGAGACGGTCGGGCAGGATTTCAGCCAAAAGTTTGGAGAGACAGTCGGCCCGCACTGTGTAGCACTTGGTTGGCAGGTGAGAACTGACACAGAAGAAGAAGACGACGACGGCGACGATGCTCACCATTCTCAAATGATTCAGTGTGTGACGTGTGTATTTCTTTTGTCTTTCAGAGATTCAAACTTGGCGTCAGACTGTATTACAAAATCATGGAGGCGATGCTGAAATCGGTACTTTTTATTTATTCAAAAATATGTAGAATCAAGTTCCCAGTGTGGACAGTAAGACATATATATAATGTATATGAAGCAACTCACAGGGACTTTTTCTGAAATAACTCATGTAAGTTGTGTTGATTTCCTTCCCAATTTATAGGAAGAGAAGCGACTGTCTGTACAAAATTTCAGGTATGTTTCTTTTTTAAATTTTTTTTATCACAGTTAAGAAGTTAATAAAAAAAATTGTTTTAATTATACAGGACTCATTCATCCGTAGCGACACACAATTTCCCTTCAGCTAAATGATATGAATTCTGTTCCAGTAAACTACTTAATGACGCCACATTTCACACATCGCTGTTGGCCTGCGCTTTGGAGGTGGTGATGGCAACGTATGGAGGTTTGTCATGTGATTTTCCTACTGAATATTAACACACGCCGTCACAGTCTGAAAGAACTGGATTGTATTCACGATCGTCCGTAATAATGTGCAATAAGTCGTCATTATTTGTTTTGTGCTTGATGATTAGAGAGCAGCTTTATGACCAGAGGATACAACCATGCTGGTGCCGGTAACCCAGTTGAAAAAGACTTGTGCTTCCCCTGGATACTGGATGTGGTCCACCTGCCAGCCTTAGACTTCTACAAAGTCATCGAGAGTTTCATCAAGGCCGAGCCCACTCTGAGCAAAGATATCGTCAAACACCTGGAGACCTGCGAGAACCTTATCGTGGAGAGGATTGCATGGAGGTCAGTTTGTTTTTCCTCCCATCACTACAACAAAATAATGATAATAATAATGACAACAATAGTGTCAAAGCTTGTTAATGGGGTGCATGCATAAAGAGCATTAAAACTCAGACTCTACAAGGAGATGTACATTTAGCATTTATTGTCTGATGAGAAGAAAGAAAAGATTGGCATGTATTAGCTGGTTATATTTATTATCATAGTAACGTAGAACAATTCAATTTCACTTACAGCAGTCAACAGCAGCTGGACGAGACGTCAATCATCATCACGTGGAAAGAGGAGGGGCAAAAAAGTGCAGCGTCCACAAAACAATGGACCTGACGGAATAAATGTTGCACAGGATGAAATGTTTAATCCATTGTACTTCCAAAAATGCAGGATTTCTAGAATTACTGCTAGATTAAATACGTCAATCTTTTGTTTTTAATAACTTGTAAACTAAAATGACCTATTAGGTAATATCCATGCCATGGCTGAACATCTGCATTTCATTCATTACATTCATGATGAATTGATTTCATCATATTTACAACTACAATCTATGCTATTCATACAAACAGGCTTTTAAGTGGGATTTTCTAACTATCTTTCCTTACATATATATATATATATATATATATATATATATTCCTAAAGTATAATAAATTATGGAGTCATTCAGCATTTTGGCTTTGATCTTTCTTCATCTTCAATTCCCCCTGTGCTGTAAGCAAAAAGCCCTAATCGAATCATTGTTTGGCATTGGTTACATGTAGTATTCTAGAGACACTCTTATAGGTTAAATAGATTCCCTCCTTCAAAGACATGATTATTGTCCATCTATCAATCTTGCTCACATTCCTCACAACTTTCTGAACGCATCAAGGTTACTTGTGACTAAAATTAGCCTGTCGTGTCTGCAATATCTGCATTTTTAAAACCCTTTCAGTCAGATTAAGCTTTTGGTGTATGTATATTTATAATAAGCGTCATTGTTTTCTCTCCCAGAGCATATTTCAAGCCATATCACACTTTTAAACCTTTGATTAAAAAACATGTAAATATTCATTGTCTGTGGCTTGCATGATCATAGCATGAAACTCCTCTAATTTTAGGGAATAGTTCCTTCATCCACCTTGTTGCCATTCTCTTGCATTTTGACATGCACAATGATCAAATATTTATATTCTCTTTTTGTGTGATTTTGGGATTATTTATTTTCAAAGATCTTTATTGAAAACTAATTGTGGACTGATCGTACAAAGTCAACATACGTTTTATTAATTTTTCATTGAATTTAGTGAGTTCCCTATTAAATATGACTTTTGAAACAAAGTAATGGGGATCACACGGTGGCCTGCAGGCGAAAGGATGCTCAATAAATACACTGGAAATTGGATATTTTAAATGGAATTTAACCAAGGCAAAAAGCAGCACGTTTTCCATAGGTCCATGACAAAAATAGTTTCCAAAGCCTACACTCATTTGAAATTAACAATAGTAACGTAATTATTATATCAACCATTGCCCACAAGAGGGCAGAGTTGGCACAATCAATCTAATGTGTTTAAAGATAGACATAAGATTACATAGACCAAAGCCTTATTCCTGATTATACCTGGCGTGAACAATGGCTGATATCAAAGGGCCCTCGATAGGTGAAGAAAGTTAAAACCTCAGCCCGTATTAGCATTCAAAAGTAACGAATATACACAATGTAAACTCAATTAAAATGGGAGGCGCAATAGAATAGACATAAGTACGTTCTACATCATCAAATCATAACTATGCCTCTATTATATTTGCTGAAATTACGTCAAACTTTTCGATTTACATATTTAGTAGTTGTTAATGGCGGGATAAATGCTAATGACCGGATGCTGCGTATATATTTTTTCCCGCGTTTTCGTTTCGTCAGCTTGGGTTCGTTCGTTTGCAGGGTGTCACGTGATCCCTATAATATGACTCTTGTGGGGAGTTTAGGAAAATATAGCGCTATAACGTGGTTATCTAATGACACTGTTGAGGGCACAATGTTTGATCGGAGACAACATATCATCTAGACTGAGTGGGGTGGTTAGTATACACGGAGTTATAATCACTGAGTGGGGTTGAGGGTCCAAAGCTTGACTCACTGGCGGCAGTGACATTCCGCGGCGCGCAGCTGTGATGCAAAACCAGCACCCACTTCAAAACGGTTGCAGGAAGTCAAGCAACGCTAAATTTTGTTGTATTGTTGCCACGGAACTCGTGCAGTGGATTTTAAACTCAGGCCATCAAATTTACTGCCGCCACACAGAGTTCCCTATTTAACTAATATATTACCTTTTAAGGCAACCGTACACCAAGATGCCACCCAAGAAGCGCAATTCTGGGACGACACAGATCAAGGATGTGAAAAGTGCCGAAAGTGTCTCTCCAAACAAGAAGGAGTGTCCAGAGTTGTCTTTTAAAAAGTAAGACGTAATATTTTTTTTGCCGCCACGCAGTCTCAGCAGTGAACAAAATAGCGTTTGTTGTTTACCGTGTACTTAATGTCTACGCTGTGCCTCCGTGTTTAGCTAGTGGCAGCTATTCGCGTTAGCTTCGTTATTAGCAAACCGTCAGGCTGACTAGCTAAGCTAAGCTAGCTGCTCGGAACTATACGGCCCGGCAACGCCAGCTCGAACTGATACAGAGATGTTACGTAATTACCACGTTTCAGTCCCATTTAAGAATAAACTGTAAAGCTGCTAAAACATAAACAAATAGCATCCGGGTCAGACACCGTGGGGTCATTTTCATCGGTGCGTGTTGGTGTCCTGAAACGGGGCCATGATGTTCTCTATGATGTTGACTCTTGGTCTCCGTCCTCCAGGCACAGGGACAAGGATGCGGAGTTCGTGACGCTGTGTAAGAGCCTCCATGTGACGGACCTGGTGTGCGAGGGTTCCTGGGAGCTATGTAAAAGCGTCCAGGTGTCCATGGATGAAATCGCCGTACGTATTTTAAAACGTTGTGTGTCAATATCTTCGTAGTCTCCTGTGGGCCTGTTTGGTGTCCTGTTGAAACAAAGACAATGGCTCGGAGTTGGAATTGAGTGCTGAGGTTGAAAACCACCGAACAAGAGGACCAAAAAAAGTGTCCCTTTTGAAGCCAGCTCACTTTTCTTACTTCACACCGTTTACACTTCAGATAAGAATAAAATAAAATGCCCACTTTGGCATCCTGTCCACAATCATTCAAATGAACATCGTCCCCACAACCAAACCTCATTATGTATGGTGATTCTCTTCTCAAGAAAAGAAAGCTTTGTTCAATAAAGAAGTGCATTATACACACTTAATTTTACTACTAACGTCTACTGTATGGTTTTTGCATAAGAAATCGTCTCATTTTCTATGTTAATCATTTTGAAAGAAGTTCACAGGCGCAAGCTGCTCTTTTGCATTTCTTGTCACGTAATCAGCAGACCGATCCCTTGTGTGACGCTGTAACAATCATCTGTTATCATCTTCATCAGTGTTGCCAGCGTGCCGGTTTGAGCTCATGTGTGACGTTCTTGGCACGTGGTGTATGGACAAAACTCTCTGGAATTTCTAAATGGAAAGTCAAGCTTGCCTTGTCTCCGACATTCCAAAGGCTATTGGAGTTTTTTTTTCTTTTCCCACCTTCTGTTAAAGGAAATCTAAGTAGTCTATGAAAAAGTGGGTTGATCAGATAGAATTAAAACATACACGGTGGTATTGCCTTGTTATAACAGATCTATTGGTTTTATGTTTTAGCTTCAATATTGACCTTCCCGACCAGGATAACCGTGATTCAAATTGTAGTACTTTGTTAAATTTTCTTTCTCCATTTCATTTCAGGACGGTCCGAGGAAGGTCTGGGTTGCTTGTCTGTTTGTGACGGCGACAGATGCGAATGTTGCTAGTTTCACTTTAACTCAAGTTCTGAAAGCAGTCAATCTGAAGTGAGTAGCATTGATGCATGTTTTGCCAAATACTTCTACACATCAATGCCTGTCAAATGAGTCCTTTTTGAATAGACATTGTTTTGTATTATGTTATAAAATATATTGGCCAGTTTTGTGCAGTTTTATTTATTTTATATCTCAAACAAATGTACTTTTTTTTTAAAAGTGTACCGCAGTTTGTAGCTCTGGTGAGGAAGTTGGATGTGAACATGGATACCATCAGCTCCAAGGTGAATTCAGCACTCACACGAGTGGAGAAGAAGTACGGTGTGCTGCTGGTTCTCTACCAGCGGTTTGAGAAGTGAGTGAACACGTCAATGCAGCAACGTAGTTAAGGGGAAAATTATAACCAATGACAACCTTTTTTTATTTTGTTTCAGAACGTGCAGGAACATCTTTGCTCCGGCTTCTGACAATCCGTAAGTTGGAAACTTTTCTTTATGTTCTTGTGTAGTGGATAATTGAGTGCTTTTTATAAAAGATATCATGCAGCTTCAGGATTCATTTTTCACTCTCTTTTCCAAGGGAGAGGGAGACCATGCGGAGCTGCTGGACAATGTTTCTTTTAGCGAAAGGTATGTTAACGGGTCCACTCGCTATCTGGACCCGTTTCCACTTTCTTGTGTATCTAATTGGCTAATAGGGACCGCAATTCCTGAAGGTTCTCCCAGAGAATGGGGCTATTTTTCCTTTTATTACAACGGATTACGTGAAGGCCGGGTGGGATTGCAAAGGGGCCAAAACTTTCCATGGCAGGTTAATCGTGAAAATGTTGACATTTTTTCTTCTTCTTAAAAGCCTATAATGGGGTAATTGGGAACATTGTTTGCCAGAATTGTAAAGGTAAACATAAAACGTTCTGCGGTTTTTGAACGTCTTTGTCGTTACCTGGCATATTGATTACATGGTAATCTGAAGCCAGTTTAATTCTAATAGTTTATTTATATGCAGTAGACTAATTTATTACAGCAGTGAGAGTAGGATTTATGTATTTCCACACAAAACACCTTCACCCCTGGTGTTTCAATAGGGGGGGGCGCCCCGCCCGCTCAAGAAGGACAGTTTTTTTTGTTTTGTTTTTTCTTTACATTTACAATTTCCAGTTTATTCACGGTAATTCACTTCAATTCCCATGGAAAGTTTCCGACTTTGAATATTCCCGGAATTTTGCAATTCCGCAATTTTGCAGTGTGATAAGATTTTGCAATATTATTACTGTGTGGGGTCCATTACATCAAGTTGTCAGACATGTTAAATAACAGCAGATTTCATCTTGCTTCTTCTACTTTCTGACCTTCCTTCCTCAGCCGTAGAGCTCAAATGAATCGGAGGAATGTTGTGTTGTTTCCAGTCTGCAGCGCTGGTATTGTGATGCTGCTTCTCATGCACTGCTTCTGTGCTCCTCGCAGGAAGGGTCTTGCAGATGGAGGATGACCTGGTCATATCATTCCAGCTGCTGCTTTGTACGCTGGAGTTATTCATCAAGCGTTGCCCTCCAGACCTTCTGCAACCTCTTTACAGTGAGCTTCAGCCGGCCGTGTTTTATACACCTTTCTGAATTTTTATTGTGTGGCAAAGTTTTCAAGCCCGAGATGTTTTTTTTGTTGAAGACTGGAAAAACTATTTCAGTTGGAATTTTAACATGAATGCTTATTTTAGTTGCTGTAGACCTAATAGGATTTCTCGTTGTTCTTTGCCTAAAAGTGTACGTATGTGCTCAGCTGATACTGATATTATATTTCATGCTATTCATGATTCAAATAACTGAAGCGATTATCAACACAATCCATTTGAAACGGGATGTAATTCAAGCTTTAGGACGGGTTAGATGTGCGGGTAGTACAGATTACGTCACGCCACATACGTGAGGAAGCTGTGGGAGAAAATATATTTATACACAGAGCGACGTACAGCTAATTAATTCAGCTGTGGTATCAGATCGGTCTTTATTGGCTGATTTACGCTCATGCCTTAAGTGCGTGAATACTCTATTCTACTCTACTGTATAGCATAGTATTATAGTATGTTGTCATGTTTTTTAATCACAAGAAGCGGAAAAAGGTCTGTGCTCTGTACTCCCTTGCTTGAATGCACTTTGTTGTTTGCTTTGGATAAAAGCGTCAGAATTGAAATGTTCTAATCCTTTTGAATGTTTCTCTCTTAGAATCAGCCATCAGGAAAGTTCAAAGCCCTCCGACACGAACATCTCGGCGCAGCCAGAGCAAGGCCAAGTCCCGACCTCTGGAGCCAGAGGTGGATTTGCAGCTTCTGAAGACCTTATGCAATGAGAATGAATGCAATGGAGAAGAGGTCCAGAGCTTTATACTAGTTATCGTACAAACCCATTTTTTGCCCTCTGTATATTTGTTCTCATCTATGCAAACCATATTCGCAGGTGAAGAATGTATACCAGACCAGTTTCTTGGCTTTCCTGGAGTCTCTCGACTCTTCGAAGTCTCCAGATTTTCCTCAGGTAGGTGTGGACACCTGCTCTAGTGTTTGGTTTCCATTAGTTATCACCTAGCGCTTGCTCCCATTTTTGAGTGTTTTTATGTGTCTGACAGCTGTTGGTTGTTCCCTTTACTGCTTTTACATGTTTGGTTTCACATTAATGGTGTCAGGAAAAATGTGTACTCAAGCAGGGGATCCACTGTAGCGTCTCGGGGTAGTTTATTGCAGGGGCGGGTACGAAGTCAAAGGACACTGACGCGCTCAGAATACTAGACCTATTTATTTTTACTGTAATATTGTCGGATTACGGAGCAGGGGGTGTGCTTTATATACCTACGTGTCTTGTGTAAACATTCTGCTGAGGTTATCGATCTGGCCTGCGAGGGGCCCGAGTCATTGTCTGAGCTCTGATTGCAGATCTAGTTTTCAGATTAAGATTTCACCTATAAAACTTGAATTTAGCGGATGTGATGTATTGTCAGCCCTCAAGATTGCTCAGTCTGAGGAGTAGTTGGCTTTTCTTTGGAAACTGTGAAATTGTTAATGTTCTTGTTGTTAATGTCGGATCATTTTCTGTACCTCGTATATTGTGGTGGAGAAGTGAGCGGCTCATGTGCTCTGCAGCAATTATTTAACACGTTGAAGGGCACCCTGCTCTGCTTTTGTTAGAGTGCAATTTAGCATCTTGGGACTTATGTCAAAGAGGTGAACTCTTCGGCCACTGTTGAACAACCTTGCATGTACATGAATAATGAACATAAATGCATGTATGAGGGGGGCACAATGGGTAACCTTTCATTTCCGCCCCAGGCTAAAGACCTCAACCAACAATACGAAGACCACTACCTCAAGAGTAGAGACATTGATGGGCGACTGTTTTTTGACGGAGATGAGACGGTTCTTCCTTCTAAATTGGAGATGTAATTTTCCTCTCTTCTTCACAATTGAGCGTTTTGATGTCGGTCGGAGTAAATCGGGTGAAATAATCGCCGGCCGCTGTTTTCAGATTACAGGAGGAGAAAACCCCAAAGAAGAACCTGCCAGATGAAGAAGTACTCATTCCTCCACAGACCCCAATCAGGTGAGCAGTTACTCACCTGCTGAAACGGGAAGACTCAGCGTGGTTACATGGATTCGAATAACTGTCAGACTGAAATCGAATTATCCGCTTCATGTAAACCCCTTTGTCCGACTATGTGCGGTCCGATTACGATCCAACTAACACCCCTGGATAACTCGATCCGATCCAGTTGATAGTTCGACTATTGCGGCATGTAACGGTGAATCGGATAAGGAACTGGACTTGAGATGCTTGAGATCCCAACGGCGTCTTCTCTTTGTTATCAAATCAGCCAATAGCACCATTCGCATTCGCTGTACTCCTATTAACATCATGCAAAAATAGTAGAGGGATGTAGCTTCACCTTGCTCTCCGTTCGCCATCTTTCTCGAAATGTTGATGTTGTTGTTGTTGGTAGTGGTGAAGCGGTCAAGCGGAAATGGCTGTATCACAACTAGTTGTAATGAAAACAGCGCCACCTCTCGTATCGGATATGACATGCTTTCGGCCAATGATTCGATTTATTCACTGCCATGTATATTGGGATAATAGCACTTGCCCCGAAAGATAGCATAGTCCGACTAAGCCATTCATTGGGGATTGTTCATTGTGGTATTTTCTAGGTTCATGTCTTCCCTTCAGCCCTTTCTGATTGTATTTATTTATTATCAGAAATGTCATGACTTCCATTCGGGACCTGAGGGGGGATCTCACCTCCAACGGCGATCAGCCATCTAATAACCTGGCTACATATTTCAAAGTAAGTCTCTACGAGTAATGAACGCCAATTTGAAATGTCCCATTAAACTTTTTCTCATGTATTTTTCCGTTTTTTCTATTTCTTGTAATCAGAACTGCACCGTGGACCCGACGCAGGATGTGCTGAAGCGCTTGGAGACGGTCGGGCAGGATTTCAGCCAAAAGTTTGGAGAGACAGTCGGCCCGCACTGTGTAGCACTTGGTTGGCAGGTGAGAACTGACACAGAAGAAGAAGACGACGACGGCGACGATGCTCACCATTCTCAAATGATTCAGTGTGTGACGTGTGTATTTCTTTTGTCTTTCAGAGATTCAAACTTGGCGTCAGACTGTATTACAAAATCATGGAGGCGATGCTGAAATCGGTACTTTTTATTTATTCAAAAATATGTAGAATCAAGTTCCCGTGTGGACAGTAAGACATATATATAATGTATATGAAGCAACTCACAGGGACTTTTTCTGAAATAACTCATGTAAGTTGTGTTGATTTCCTTCCCAATTTATAGGAAGAGAAGCGACTGTCTGTACAAAATTTCAGGTATGTTTCTTTTTTAAATTTTTTTTATCACAGTTAAGAAGTTAATAAAAAAAATTGTTTTAATTATACAGGACTCATTCATCCGTAGCGACACACAATTTCCCTTCAGCTAAATGATATGAATTCTGTTCCAGTAAACTACTTAATGACGCCACATTTCACACATCGCTGTTGGCCTGCGCTTTGGAGGTGGTGATGGCAACGTATGGAGGTTTGTCATGTGATTTTCCTACTGAATATTAACACACGCCGTCACAGTCTGAAAGAACTGGATTGTATTCACGATCGTCCGTAATAATGTGCAATAAGTCGTCATTATTTGTTTTGTGCTTGATGATTAGAGAGCAGCTTTATGACCAGAGGATACAACCATGCTGGTGCCGGTAACCCAGTTGAAAAAGACTTGTGCTTCCCCTGGATACTGGATGTGGTCCACCTGCCAGCCTTAGACTTCTACAAAGTCATCGAGAGTTTCATCAAGGCCGAGCCCACTCTGAGCAAAGATATCGTCAAACACCTGGAGACCTGCGAGAACCTCATCATGGAGAGGATTGGATGGAGGAGGGTCAGTTTGTTTTTCCTCCCATCACTACAACATAATAATAATAATAAAAATGACAACAATAGTGTCAAAGCTTGTTAATGGGGTGCATGCATAAAGAGCATTAAAACTCAGACTCTACAAGGAGACGTACATTTAGCATTTATTGTCTGATGAGAAGAAAGAAAAGATTGGCATGTATTATTACCTCATTTGAATACTTTACATGCAATAACAACATATGAACTCAATCACGTTTCATCAGCATTGTTATCTGATTGTTATCGGTCTCCTGCTACTGCTGGGAACGGAAGTGTTATGTTTAGGGTGGGTCATTTCCCGGGAACGCGTTGTCTCAGTAATGCCTGGAAGGAACATTTTTTTAAATCTGCCACAAATATTCACTTAAACTCAAGGATGAACTCATTCCATTTTGGAAGTCACCGGTATATTTGACATTACAAAACATGTTTTTGACCAGTACACAGGAATCCACATGCTAACCCTAAAAAAAAGAAAAGAAAAAATCATTTTTGTCAGATTAACAGAGGCATAATACTTCCCGGCAGTAGGTTCCACCCAAATTCAACATTCACTCTGTATAAAAAATATTGCATTTAAATATTTCACAAACACATACGGACATATTATACTGAACAAATGATTAAGTGACAATGTGCATGGTACTGAACCCCAGACTGGAGCGCTAAAATAAACCAACCAACAAACTCCTGGCAAAAATACCGATACCCTATTTACACTAAGAAGTGGTTTATGGGATACTGTATATTCATATACAAAGTCCTTGTCAATTGTATGGAATTTGTTGTACAAAGGCGTGTGGAGACCTTGAGATAATGATAATGAAACCAGGCGTGTGGAGACCTTGAGATAATGATAAAGAAACAAACGCTCGGTCACTGGCTGCCGGGCGCCTCCCTGTGCACCAGGCTGCTGGAGAAATAGTAAACGAGAGGGTTGAGGCAGCAGTTGCAGCTGGCTAGCGATAACACCACGGGGTGCACAGCCTTGGTCACCTTGGCCAGGCCGCAGTGCTGCAGCAGCCCCACGTGCGTCAGCGTGTATCCCAGCAGGTTGATGTGATAGGGGACGAAGCACAGCAGGAAGATGCCCAGCACCCAGTAGATGATGGTGAGCGTGTGCCGCCGGCTGCGGCGCTGGCCGCGGGAGCGCCCCCTCGCCCGGCGCAGCACGCCCAGCACTCTGCTGTAGCTGCAGAGAAGCAGCGCAGTCGGCAGCAGGAATGACCCCTGGACCAGGCCCAGGGCCGCCAGGATGATGGCGCGTTGCCGCTGCGAGGACGGGTCCGGCAGACAGGGCTGGTGTGGGCGTCTGGCCGCCGAGTGCAGCAGAGGCAGACTCGCGCTGAGCCCCAGCACCAGGCACCAGCTCCCACCGCTAACCAGCCGTGCAACGCGCCGCCTGCGCAGGGTCGAGGCCAGCGGGTGCACCACCGCAAAGTAGCGGTCCACCGCGATGCACACCAGGAAGAAGATGCCCCCGTACAAGCTGATGTATTTGAGGAAGAAAGTGAGGTGGCAGTATCCGGCCCCTGGGTCCAGCTGGGCGGGTCCGCCGCCTCAGACGACAAGGCTCTGGCTTTTTGGTGGTAGTAGTAGATTCTCAGGGGCAGAGAGATTATAAAAAACAAGTCGGCAGCCGACAGGCTGAGCATGTAGATGGCCGTGCTGTTCATGGTGCGCGGAGAGGCGCACAGTCGGCGCAGGGCCAGGCTGTTGGTGGCCAGCCCCAGCACGAAGATCACCCCGTAGGACGCCTGATAGAAGGTGAAGCGGTAGCTGGTGTCCACGGTGCAGTTGGACAGAGGAGAGAATGTCCTTGCTGGCACATCAGTCATATTCCACGACTCCATGTGCCGAGATAATCCGCTTGCGTCTGGAGGAAATGAGTCTGGTGGAAGGGCGTCTAAGACGGGAGGAAGGAACAGGTTGAGTCGCTTTAGCTGTGGCAAGAGGAAACCTAATGAACTGAAAATGCCTGCTGTTTTATGGGATGGAAATTTGCAGAGGTGACACGGCGTCAGCCGACAGTCAAATGTCAATAAAGTTTTAACTGCCACTTGCTGCTCTCGTAAAAAAAGCAGACATTTTATTTTCATTGCATGCAGAATGAGAAAAAATAACCACCTCACCTTGTTAAAAGCTGTTGCCCCTGCAGTAAATTCCCATTTTCCCATTTGTTGAGCAGGTCAGAGGTGTTGATTTAACTTGATTGTAATTTTTTATTTCATTCAATAACTTTAATTATGCAAAAGGGTCTAAATATAAGCGTTATTTCCACTTGCTGCGTTTGGTGTGTCATCAGCATTTGTTGGATCTTTTCCTCCATCTTACACCATTATTCATTTTTTGTCACCAATTTACCAGCCATTTCACACAAGACACAAAATGACCTTGAATTCATCCAATAAGAGTGACTGATGAATTACAAGAGAGGCACTAGTATCCTAATATTACTGCTACTTTAAATATTTCAAAAATACAATTTTGAATACAAAAACCAATTCATTCTCAGCAATATTTATAATTTATATTTATTTTATTTTGATGACACAATAAGGCATTGAAAAAAAAACATTTTCTCAATTGTTAAAAGTCTTTTGAATGCATACAAAAAAGATGTTTCAGACTTTAACAATGAATGTGCACAGTTATAGCTGGCTCCCTCCGCTTGTTCACTGGGCTTTTAAAACTCAAAGTGCAATCGGTAAAACTGAAAAGACTAAAGAAAGAGAAAGCATCATCCCTCACCTGTATCTGTGCCCTCGTGGATCCAATGACAGCAGGACAGAGCTGGCGTGGAGCTGCACGGCGGCTTGTTAGGGACCCGTGATGATGCAGAAGCTGCTGAGGGGAACCCGCCCACACTGGCACGCAGATGAGGGTCCCCTCCCCTCCATCCCCAGCTCCACTCCTACGCACACCTCTTATGCTTTGTTTTTTACCACTAACTCATTTAGTCTAAACATCAAATCCGCTTATTGCCGTGTTAATTTAATGAATGCGGGGGACTAGGTTGGCTAGAGGACAGCCCGCCATCTGGTCTGAACCAAACTAAGTTTAACTTTCAACTGCATTTCTGTGATCAGCCTTACAATTGAGCACAGATTGTTTTGTTGGCGTTGTGTTTATGGCTGCTTGTTTAAAACCTACACAAGGGGTTGGAGTTGATCATTCAGTCTACGGATGGAGGAATAGTAATAATGCACTGAAAGACGGAGGTGTAATCTTGTATCTCGCGTTTCAGCTTTGAGTCTGAGTGAAGAAAAAGAATGAAACTATACTCAAAGCTGGGTTCTGGATTCTTTGTTTGACTATTTATTTTGCTTAGCACGACTTCACTACCCACTATCCGTGGAATTTGACGGAATATGTAAATAACAAATGTAGGAAGAAACATGTCTTCAGCGAGAACTTATTTATCCTCTTGCGCTGTTGGTCATCACATGTACTAAAACATATGAGAACTGTTCAAAACAATTAGACATAAACAATTACAAATATTTTGTGTTTGGTAGAGAAAGTCAAGTGAATCTTGATTAGAGTGTAATGACTTTTCCTAAAGTTTGACTCCATTGTCTCAAGGATTCTCGTTTTGTTTACATTGCGTTCATCAGCGCTGTCTCAAGATTGCTGCAACACCCAACCCCCCTCTATTTAGTAGACTAGCTTCTCTCATATGAGGCATGTTGTCGCTCGCCTGCTTATGTTTCACAATCCAGAGCAGCGATGAGTCTTTGCTGCAGACCCTCCGGCTGAGCCTCTCACCAGGAATGCGGTGATGCTCGGTCTTTCATCATGCAGCTTTTGCAGAGAAACAAAATCAGAATATTCCATTTGCAGTGTGAGCTTTGTGTTCCCATTACTGTTCGTCTCTGATTTAGTGTTTTTAAAAAAAAAATATATATATATATTTTTTTTTAACATCCCACTATTTTTAAGACCACTTACTTAAATAAGGCCATTCGTTAGCGGTGCTACTGCAATGTTACCCGCTTTCACTTCACCACGACTGTAATCTCCATTCTAAATAGAATTTGACTTCTTGTGCATTATGACACCGCCCAACCCCACCCAGTACCCGTAGCAGTGTTGTTGGCACCCACATAACTAATCGCTCTAGAACGATAATGTGATGCTACCCGGAGCGAGTTGCAGTTGACCTGCTAATGATGCTAACGACACACTCTGTCAAACAAGTAGGGAATGTCCAACTCAAAACCCTTTTTTTAAGTAAACAACTTTTATTTGCGTTATAGCTGATGAAGCTGGGATGGAGCATTGTCCTCTATGAAGGGCCTTAAGAGCAGTACAGTACACACAAAAGTTATAATACTTAAGAATGACGAGAATCCGCTCTGAGGAATAAGACAAATTGTCTGAGTCTGATTACGTGCAGCACCATGCACACATCAGTCATCGGCAATGATACACATCATCAACCCACAACAATAACTTTCTTAAGCGTGTTTGTGTTGCGTTGGCACCTTGATAAAGAGTCTTTTAGCCGGCAACACACGTTCCACTCTGAAGATGAAAGTCTTAACTCTCTGTGGCGTAGAGTGAGGGAGTGACTCCTTGTAACCATGGTGTTTGTGTGTCATGATCCACAAGCCTCTCGGCCTCCACCTGCGTGCTCGGATTTCACCAGCAATGACGGAAGCATTAATCACGACCCGCAACCATAGCCGCGGCTAGATTGTAGACTCACTGTCAAACACTTTCGTTCTCAGAATTGTCAGGTGTTTAGGTGTTGTACTTGGACTGTTTTGTGTGCTGTCCATGTGTAGCCTGTCCAATAGCTTGGCACCGTTGTGCCACATGGTGGACTTGCGTTTGATGGAGCTCTGAATGGTCTCTGAAGTGAAGTAGTAAATGACCGGATCGAAGCAGCAGTTGGTCACTGCCAGGCACAGCGCGATGGGGTAGATGGTCCGGACCACGTTTTCCGCGTTGCACCCCTGAAGCACATTGGTTCGGACCAAGGCGTAGAAGATGAGATTGAGGTTGTAGGGAATGAAACAGAAGCAGAAGATGAGCAGATGCACGATGATCATCCTCAAGATCTTTCTCTTGTTGAGGTTCCCCCCCCGACTGATGGCGTGGGGTTTACTCAGCGTCCACACCACCATGATTGAGCAGAACACGTTGACCAATAGGGGGATGATGAAGCCCACGGTCTCGATAAAAATCACCACTTTGGACAGCTCAGCCCTCCACTGCTTTTTGGAGTAGTTTTCGAAGCAGAAGTTTGAAGAGGAGTTGGGCGAAGTGGTGTCCAAAAGGAACCCGGTGGGTATGCTTCCAGAGAGAACCATCACCCAAACCGTACAGCAGGCCAGCTTGGCGTTCCTCTTGGTACGTATTGCTTGGGACCGAAACGGGTGCACGATGGCCAGGAAACGGTCCACGCTGATGCATGTGAGAAAGAGGATGCTGCCGTACATGTTGGTGTAGAACAGGGCCACCGAGACCTTGCAGAGCACGCTTCCAAACACCCAGTCCCGCTTGATGAAGTAAACAATCCGAAACGGCAGGCTCAGGACGAAGAGGCAGTCTGAAACTACGAGGTTGATCATGTAGGTTGTGGTCTCGTTCCGCAGCTTCAGCGTGCAGCCGAAAATGTACACAGCCACCATGTTGAAGAAAAGTCCGATAATAAACACAAGGCTGAAAACCGAGCTGTACAGAGGGTACTTGAAGTCATCACTCTTGTTGCAAGAATTCGGAGTGAAGTTAAATTGTGTCATGCTGGACATTTTTTAAATCTGGTTGATAGGTCTGTACGGCGTGCAGAGTAAATAGGTTCCCCTCCCCCGTTTACCTGTGTCAAGTCATAAAAAAATCCAGGTGCAGTTTATTAATCCAACCAGCGAAAGGTAAAACGAGTATTTCATTTAGCGAGGGTGTTGAAGACTGTCTTTTGTACTGGAAAGTATACAGCAACTCCTCAAAGTGACTGTATTAGTATCCAAAGTCCTCCTCCCGTTCCGCACAAGAAAGCTGTCCTGAACACACAATAATCCTCATGTCAATCATGTTTTCAGTCTTTTGCCGTTGAAATGTTGATCCCCTGCGAGAGAAAAAAAAGTCATGTGCCTCTCCTCAACTCCACGAGCAGCCAAATGGTTCGTCCCTTCCTTGGTTTCCTGTCTGCTCCTGCACCCGCCCGGGGGCGGGCCGCGGCTTGCTGATTATGACGTCTCTGCTCTGGAGGGTGTACTCTGCTCGTGGCTGACCAAAGACCACGCCGGACTGTTGAGGCACAGTGGGCGGAGCCTCCACCGGGGTCCAAAGTCCTTTTATTGCTCGCTTGATGTTCTGAGTAATGACACAAATCATAGTGTTATTTATTAAACAATAGAAATCTATGGTGTCTAATTCTACATGCCCAAACTTTGGACATGACATGTCACTGAATGCTGTTGATGCAATCAGGTGTACTTTTCAAACATGTCTGTGGCGTCAGACAGGCGTGGCATGTGTCACACAAAGAATTTTCTAATGGCAAGTCAGTACCTGCTGTATATGTGTAATTTGCTGAGTAGTAAATCACACCCAGTCCCTGTATGATCTCATCACAATACTTTCATATTCTTGTAAACCACTCGTCTGCATGACTTGAAGTGTCTACGGTGATATTGTGTGTAGTGGGGGATTTCTCTGTTTGTCTCATGTGATTAATGATTCATGGTTAATGGGATTTCTGTGGCGATCACTATAATCAGATTGGGTACTATAAAGAGTGTCCTCGGATCAACATGACGAATATTATCAGCCCACTAGAATTTGACAGTTAGGCTTTTACAAAAAAAAAGACCTGTGTACACAGACCCTTTTATTATTGCCTCACTTGTTTCTCTGTGGAAAACCAAAACGGGAGTGAATCATTTAGGAGTGACAGCAAGATCCTCCTTGTGGCAGTGGCAAGTGGGTGGCAACTTTGTGGCAGGCAGCGGCAATCGCCAGTAAATCAGTCGGCGTCACGAAGGCACGCTGGGTGGGAGGAGCCAATTTTCCCCAGAAACAACTGTTATTTGTACGACAGGTCAGCTGCTGTAAATATTTAATTTTATTTGAGACATGTGAGCCCCCGTCTTCTTATTACAGAGGCTAATTTTAGGTTTGGACCGGCGGGTTCCGTGTAGGGGGTGGGGCTCTCAAGTTTGATGCCACCCACTTGCCACTGCCACAAGGAGGATCTCGGCCTTACTGTCATTTAGATGATGCACACATGTTGCAATTCCATCCATTGTCAAACCGCTTATCCTGCACACAGGGTCACGGGGGGGCTGGAGTCCATCCCAGCCAACTTCGGGCGATAGACAGGGTACACCCTGGATTGGTCGCCAGCCAATCGCAGGGCCACACAGAGACACACAACCATTCACACAACTACGGGCAATTTAAAGTCCCCAAATAACCTGATCCCCAGAGCATGTCTTTGGACTGTGGGAGGAAGCCGGAGAGAACCCACGCAGACACGGGGAGAACATGCAGACTCCACACAGAAAGGCCACTGGGCGGAATCGAACCCAGGACCTTCTTGCTGTGAGGCGACAGTGCTAACCGCCACGCCACCGTGCCGCCCATGTTGCAATTCTAAATGACCTAATTTCTGGTAATAAACTTAATACTTACTGATACTCTTTTATCAAACATTTAATTATGTTTGCATTGAATAAGGTGCACGCTTGCTTCAAAACGTCCCTGATTCTTGTTCCTCCCGTATGTTCTTCAGTTAAATACAATTCATCAAACTTTCATTGATCTAATTAACAGACTGCCAAGTCACTAATGACTGATTATTTATCTGATTAAATTATCTGGTGATTGATTTATTTGCAAAGCGTTGAGCTCCTGCTCGACCACTCATGTCTTAGTAAAACTCCAATCCGCATCAGGCTGTTGACTGATTGCTTTGCTCGTACCTTGATGGAGTTCGGAAAACTTTCCGAAGCTTTTCCCGCTTTCGACTAGGTTTTGTTTCTCTAAATGAATTCCAGTAAACGGTACGAGGCGATTCTCAACATGCTTTTCATGCTCTGCGTTTCCTCAGAACTCGCCGGTGTTTGAGCTGCTGAAGCAGGAGCATGGAGGCGGAGCAGCAGATCAGGTGGAGACCCCGGCCAGCATCAGCCAACCGCTGCAGCACAACCACACCGCAGCTGACCTGTGAGTGTGAAAATCCCACAATCTGCTGTCTGTCTCCCCGCTTGCAGCGAGAGCCCGTCCCGTTACCCGTTTAGCTGTTGTGAAACCACGGCGAGTCATAAGTAAAGAGCTCGTTGTGACGAAGTAATGGCTCAGCGGCACGGAATCCAAATGAAAAGACATCTGTTCATTTCCATGACGTCTGTCCTGTTTGAACTTGTTCTTCTCCCTTTTATCCTAAATGACTGCTGGTGTAGATCTAGTGGAAATGACCCTGTTCAGAATCCTGTTGATGGTGTAACTGATGGGGCCCGTTTTGTTTCTGCCATGTCCTCACAGGTACCTGTCCCCCGTGCGTGGAGGCCTTCGTGACTTGCCTCCCGAATCCCCGGCCACGCCCACTTCTCAAACTTTAAACCAGCCCGCTGGCCAAACTCCACGACTCCCAAAATCCAACTCGCTCAGCCTCTTCTATAAAAAATGTAAGACGACGGCCCCATTGTTCATTGTGTGTTATTTAAGTTATGCTCCTTCTATGTGGATAAACACTGTCAACTCTTTTTTTATATTAAAAACAAAACCAAATCAGTAACATTTGCTTTTTTGTCAGGCATGGATTTCTTGTTTGAACTAAATAAAATTGAAATAATATATTAACACAAGTCACTACAGTTGCAGTTGCGGAAGTTGTAAAAAGATAACAAGTAGTTTGTTCCCTATTCAGAACTCGGGTCCACAGTTCTTTTTTTTTCAGTGTGGTGTTCCTCTGTTTCTAGTGTACCGCCTGGCGTACACCAGGCTGCAGTTGCTCTGCTCCTCCCTGCTCTCCTCCCACCCCGAACTGGAGCCCATCATATGGACGCTGTTCCAGCACACGCTGCAGCACGAGTACGAGCTGATGAGAGACCGTCACCTCGACCAGGTGACCCGACGACACACTCTTGTTCCCTCGCCCCCCCTTCTTCTCTCTGCATCTCTTTCCCGGTCTTTTTATTTGTTTTTTTGTTTTTCATCTCAAACTGCTTCTCATTCGTTCTTGCAGTTGATGATGTCGGCCATGTATGCCATCTGTAAAGTGAAGGGTGTTGATCTGCGCTTCAAGACCATCGTCACAGCTTACAAGGACATGGCCAACACCAACCAGGAGGTGACTCCTTTTAAGACACATCACTTTTATTGTCCTTTTATTAATGCAGCTGTCATCGCACTGCAAGCAGAATTATTTTTGAACGCGTCTTTGCATCACATTTTGGGTTGCAGACCTTTAAGCACGTGTTGATCGCCGATGGCCACTACGACTCCATCATCGTTTTCTACAACCAAGTGTTCATGCAGAAGCTGAAAACCAACATCCTGCAGTATGCGTCTACCAGGGTGAGATCCAGTTTGACTCTTGACAAATGCAGGTACATGTGAGGATGTGACGTAACCTTCTCGCTGTCGCTCTTTCTTGTTTTTGTAGCCACCCACCCTCTCTCCGATCCCACAAATACCCCGGAGCCCTTATAAGTTCCCCAATTCACCTCTACGAGTGCCCGGCAGCAACAACGTGTACATCTCCCCTCTGAAAAGCTCACGCATGTCGCCGGGTATCATGACTCCTCGTTCCAAGTGAGTTCTGCAATCAGTAGCATGATCCCATACGTAGTTTTTGAGGTGGAAAAAAGAAGCCTTTTTGCACATTTTTTCCTCATTTGTGTTTTTTGTCTCCACAGAATGCTGGTATCAATCGGGGAATCCTTCGGGGTACGAGCCGCTTTTGTTTCCTTCGTTGCATATTAAAGGATACCCAACAATTTCTTTTGACTCTTTTCCCTCAATCACTCTTTTCGGGTTCTGTGTTTGTCTGCAGCTGCCCAATCGGTTCCAGAAGATCAACCAGATGGTCAACAGCGGCGAACGCTCCTTCAAGAGGTGTCTGGATCCCGGCTCGGCTCCGAAGCCTCTGAAGAGGTTGCGGTTCGACGTGGACGGGCAAGATGAAGCCGACAGCAGGTCGGTCATAACTATGGTGTTATATTTGCCGTAGCATAATGAAACCCTAATGATTATGTATTTGTACTTTTATTTCAATAAGGCTCAATTTTTACATATGTATTTACAGCAAATCTGGACGAGATTCTGCGCTGATACTGAAGCTTGCAGAGATGAGTAAGTGAAAAATGCTTAATGTACCAAGTTACAGTTTTATCTTCCCATTTCGTCGTCTTCTTCTTTTTTCCTTTCTGGCCGTCACATGTAGATTTGTGGTAACATATTGGTGATTTGTTTCATAAAGGCTCCACTCGCAATCGCATGCAGGAGCAGAAGATGAAGGAGGACGCAGAATCGAAGGAGTAACTGAAAAAGCTACTGAAGTGACCTGCACTGTTCATCACGACGTGAACACAACGCTTTTGTGTACACACAAAGAAACATGAGTGTCATTTAGTATTGGTTACTAGTTTGTATTTAAATTTGAAGAGTAATATGTGAATCCAGAGGGCTTTCTTCTCTCTTTATGTTGATGCTCGGTCTGTGTTTTAATTGAATAATGGTTGATGTCATTTAAGATTTAGTAGGTCTGCTTTTAAGCGTGATATTAATTTGTGGTTGTTAAAGAAATCTTTGCTGGCTTCCTTGTTAAATAATTGGTTAAACGTTTTACCACCATCAGGACCTTCATATGGTGAAGACATTCTTTTATAACGTTTCAATCATGATGTTGTTCTATCATGATCTCTTCTCTCAAAAAGGATCAAACGTCTCTCCACGCAGGAGTTTTACTCGTAAAGTGTATTTTACCCAGGAACTTGTTTGGAACTTCTTGGAAAAGTCTAGTTTTTGCCATAAAGGGAGACTTGTAAAACAAAAAGAAATATCAAGGAAAATGATATAGCATATAATTTGCACTCAACCAACATGCATGTCATTTTATAGGATTTGGTTAACGGGTTATGTTTGTTTTTGTGTATAGTTTTGTATTAACTTTTCTTTGTACTTTTCCTACAGTGTTTCAATTAGAATATTTTCACATTCTCACATTTATCTACTGATAAGTTGGTTACTGTTTGGATCTGGGAGGTTTATGAGAACTAGAGGGAAAATATTACAGTGATTCATGCGCACCACGTAGAGCATTAATAAGAATTCCATAAAACTAAACCAAGGTAAAATATATTGTGACAAATGTCAAAATAGCTGAGTTTTTTTTTAATTAAAATGTGTTTATATTGTACTTTATTGGAGTAGTTCCTTAAAAATGTAGTAAATATTTCGTTTGAAAAAAAAAATGATTTTGTTTTGGTGTTCCTTGGCAACGTCATGTTACATTATCTTCGTCAATCTGTTGACTCACTTGCCTTGGAGGCCAACTGTAATTGATACCAGTGTACTAGTGCTTTACCAGCTTAGGTCATAATGTTTTTTATCCCTTTGAGTTTAGTTGTCTTTTTGCTTTTAGAGACGGCTGTTCTGTTTTATTCAAGCTTTAAATACTATGGTTTTTTTGGGGAGAAAAATACAATTTGAGTGTTTCTTCTCAAACAGAAACCAGTATTTTCTCAACAGTCACTTGCCACATTTCTTGTGGTTGGCGCTCTGTTTGCGCTGATGTTCTTAGGAACCGTAACTTATGACTTTAAAAACTCGATTTGTTATATATGGATGACAAGGCAGATGAATGACATTTCATTCATCTCCATCTCTATATTGTGTTTAAATTATTATTTTTATCACTGAATATTTCTGCTGTGATTAGAATCCCATAACTGATCAGTCTTTTGCTTTTTCACTTCAGTTCCTCCAAATTTTAGTCACGGCAAAGATACTTTTGGTTACGATGATGTTTTTCCTCCACCTGCTGTGGACAGTTATGTTCACACCAGCTGGTAGTCATTGAGGCTTCACTTCCACACTCAGATTATCAGTTCTTTCAATGATCTGTAATGGTGAGACCTCATCATCTCTGGCTTTGGTTGACTAAAAGGACATTTGCTCAATGAGAAATGTGTTTGGTTACATTGAGAAAATCTGCAAAGGTTACAAAGGTTACACCTTCACCATGCCTGTTATGTCCAATGAGTTGGTTACAACTAATTCAAATAACTGAAAACAGCATGAAAAAAGCACCATGAAAATTGATTTTACTTTTGTCAAAATATTTATATAATATATATAATTATATAATATAATTAATCCATCAGGCAATTGTTGCAGCCTGTTGCATATTGTCATATGTTGTGTGTGAAATAATAGATTTAGAAGTACAATATAATTATGCCATCAGAAGAAAATATTCGAGTAGGGTACAAATACCTCAAACGTGTATTTTGTTACTTTCTGCCATACACTGCAGTTAATGTAACATAAGCTTACAATTGGCCAATAAAAGTAAGCAGAAACGCTTCTCAAGAACATTGGGAAAGAAAAATAATGAGAGCTTGAAATATCCCAAACAAGGTCAAATCAAACCTAAAGGTGTTTAAACAATATTATCTTAACAGAGAACTGCATGAGGAGAGAGTAATGAAACTAACTACTCCTTGTTTTCCCCTTGGCTGTGAACTCCCTCCAGCTTATCTGGGGGAGGGAGGGAGGCACAATGACAGCTGCTGCCTGTTCAGGAACCGCTACCTTAATTGTTTCGGCGGTTTCCAACGGAGAGGCTGGAGTTTGAACGCAGAGACAGTTCGGTGTGGGCGCAGCCAGGCATGAAACACTTTGAACTGGCTACGTTTTAATTGGCCTGCGCCCCCCCCCCCCGGGAGATGGAAGTGTGTTATTGAGTTTGTGGGTCCTGATTCCGTGCAGTCAGCCGGTAGCAGGTGATAATCCTCACTTCTGCCTCTCATTGGAGCTGCTGGTGTAATCCAGTGATTTCACTCAAAACCGCCGCCAAATAATATTTGTTGTGTCTCCGGGGAATGTGATTGTGCGATTTCTTTAGAATCACTGCTGCTTATCGGGAATGGAGAACCTCACGGTAAGCAAAGTCTTGTTCGCACAGGGTTTGTAGATTTGACAAGATTGTGGATTTTTTGGAAAAATGAGGTTCATCTTTTAACACTTTCATTCCATCACAAAGTTCTATATTTTATGAAAGTTGTTACTTGATCATTTAAGATGCAACCGGCCATGCAATCACAGAATGTGCCCCGCAATTTTTTTTTCTGTAAGCTCAGTACTTTTTTCATTTTCTCACAACTACATTTTTTCGATGCTTTAATTTTCCGTTATGCAATCTAATGGGTTGTTGGCCTTTTGTCTCTATTATCTGTTATTAACTACACATATAATTATTTGTCTTAATGCTGTTCTCGGCTCTCCTGCCCTGTCCCTTAGCCCGAACAATGGCGCGAGATCATGAGCAGGAAGATGCGCTTCCCCCCGGAGCTCATCGGGGCCATTCAAGAGGGGAAAATAGAGCTGCTGTGTGGGCTGCTGAAGACCGGCGACGGCATCATCCGCCAGCTGGATGAGTCCGAGGATCGCCAGTGGAGGGAAGCTCTCAACCTGTCCATCCGCCTGGGCAACGAGAGCTGCATGGACGCCCTCCTGCAGGGGGTCAAGTTTGACTTCCGGCAGATTCACGAGGCCCTGCTCGTTGCTGTAGACACCAACCAGCCCAGAGTGGTGAAGCGCCTGCTGGACCGCCTGGACCAGGAGAAAGGCAACAAGATGGACGTGCGCTCCTTCTCCCAGGCCATCTTTGACCACTCCATTGACAACTCCCAGTTTGCCCCCGGTGTGACTCCTCTGACGTTAGCCTGCCAGAAAGACCTGTATGATATCGTGACCATGCTCACCAAAAAGGGTCACATCATCCCGTGGCCGCATAAGATATCCTGTGCGTGTCTGGAGTGTCGCAACGGCCGGCAGTACGACCTTCTGAAGTTCTCCTTGTCTCGCATCAACACCTACCGTGGCATCGCCAGCCGCGCCTACCTCTCCATCACCTCTGAAGACGCCATGCTCAGAGCTTTCAGCCTCAGCAGAGAGCTCCGTAAGCTCTCGCAGAAAGAGCCGGAGTTCAAGGTGTGGTGAGATTTGTACACACGCCCCCCACCCGCTGCCCCCCTGTTTGGTGTTGTTCCACGTTCACCCCGCCCGTGGTGTCTCTCCTCCTGCAGCCTCAGTATCTGGGCCTGGAGGAGCTTTGCCAGGAGTTTGCCGTTGAGTTGCTGGGCATGTGTCGCAACCAGAGCGAGGTGACCACCATCCTGAACAGCTGCGGAGACGAGAGCCAGGACTCTTTAGAGGAGCAGGCCTTTGAGGAGGGAATCCCCAACCTGTCCCGTCTGCGTCTTGCCGTCAACTACAACCAGAAGCAGGTAGGTCTGGTTGCAGGACGACTGACCACCGACCAACAAAGGACATAAACTTCAAATGTGTGTGTGTGTTTTCGTGCAGTTTGTGGCCCACCCAATCTGCCAGCAGGTGCTGTCATCTATCTGGTGTGGGAACCTGGCAGGCTGGAGAGGCAGCAGGACGGCCTGGAAGCTGCTTGTATCCTTGGGGATCTTCTTCACAATGCCCTTCCTCTGCCTCGTCTACTGGATCGCACCAAAGTCAAAGGTCACATCAAAGAAAAGTGTTTCTGTAAAAGTGTCCCAGACGTGACATGAGAGACGATCAATTGCGAAACTAGGATGAGCACAGCAGGCCGTGGCTCTGACATATCATCTCTTTTGTATTTTCCCCAGTTTGGGAAGGTAATAAAGACTCCTGTGATCAAGTTTCTCCTTCACTCTGCCTCCTATCTGTGGTTTCTCATTACGTTACTCGGAGAATCGATGGCAATGGAGATTCATCAGGGCAAATTTTCATCCCGGCAGCAGAACATGCTGCACAGCTCCTTCCACATGGTGTGGGTGGTCGGTGGGTTCCCTCTCGTTTCTGACTTCACAATGTTCGAATAGAAAGGTTTATACCCTGCTGTCCCATGCAGGATTCTTCTGGTACGAGTGTAAGGAAGTGTGGATCGAGGGGCTGCGGTGCTACTTCCTGGACTGGTGGAACTGCCTGGATGTGATGGTGCTCAGCATGTACCTGGCGTCTTTTGCGCTACGTTTGCTTATAATGCTCAAAGGTTACTTCCTCTGCCGTGACCTCGACGGCGCAGACGAGTGCACCTACTTCACTCAGACCGGTATGAAGAGGATACGATGGCTCAAACATAATAGTCGTCTGTACTCCATGCGGGCGTGTTTGACTGTATAAACGTCGCCCCCGCAGAGCGCAAGGACTGGCATCAGGAGGACCCGCAGCTGATCGCAGAGGTGCTGTTTGCCGTGACGAGCATGTTGAGCTTCACGCGGCTGGCGTACATCCTGCCAGCGCACGAGTCCCTGGGGACCCTGCAGATCTCCATCGGGAAGATGATTGACGACATGATGAGGTGGGAGCACTTTTCATCTGGCCTGTATCACGATTACCTTGGAATGAATGAGAATGAGCACATACTGAAACAAATGATTTTTCTTTTTAGATTTATGTTTATACTGATGATCATTGGAACGGCCTTCCTCTGTGGCCTCAACAATGTCTATGTTCCTTATGCCATCTCTCCACATCTTGGCAGGTGAGACTATGGAATCTGATGAAAATAGTGATATGCAGTAAAGTGTACAAAAGGGTCTTACTGCAGTGTCACCGTCCTCTGCTGCAGGTTTAATGAGACGTTCCACTTCCTCTTTTGGACCATGTTCGGCGTGGCCAACCAGGATTATGTGGACATGCCACAGTTTGCGTTGGCGGAGTTTGTCGGAAGGGTGTTGTACGGCATCTTCACGCTCGTCATCGTCATTGTCCTGCTCAACATGCTTATTGCCATGATCACCAACTCCTTTCAGAAAATTGAGGTAAAAAAGTATTGTCATTACTGCAAAAAAAAAAAGTAAACAGAAACCAGAGCCTGGAACGGAGATGACATCTCAACATGTGTGTTTCAGGACGATGCAGATGTTGAGTGGAAATTTGCCAGATCGAAGCTGTACCTTAGTTACTTCAGAGAAGGGCTCACCATTCCTGTGCCCTTTAACATCATCCCCTCCCCCAAAGCTGTGTTTTACATATTAAGGTGGGCTCTAGAATAAATAGACACCACATTGTGTATTGATATCTATTTATTCATTTAAATAAATTGTGTTCCAGGTGTATCTTCAGACAAATCTGCTGCTGCTGCACTTTTAATTCTGAAAACAAATATCCAGACCTGCCATCCATGGTAAGGGGAGCAGGAGTTATTATGATGTCAACATTTAAAAAAAAAAAGTTCTACACGCCGCGTACTGAAATGTGCCATGTGTGTGTTTCAAGAGCAAAGATAAGGTATCTGAAGGCAGCCAGTTGCCTTACCGCCAGCAGGTGATCAGAGCTCTGGTGCAACGCTACATTGAATCGGCACGCAGGGAGTTTGAGGAGACAAAGAGGAAAGGTAACCATCACTTTGACCTGGACAGTCAGTAATGTTTGGAGACTTGTTTGCTCAAACACTTTGCTTGCATGTCAACTCCTTTTTTCTTGTCCATCTTTCAACTCTTTTAAAATGTAATTGGAATCAAACTTTCTAGCATTTGGTTTTGAACAATGCGCTAGGAGATATTTAGGAACCAATAATATTCAGAATTTCTACTTAAGCTGAGTTATTTGAGTCAATCCTTGTTCATAGACGTGTGTGTCGTTGGTAACTATGGACCGAGATCTTGTGATTCTGAATTAATCTGCCATATGGAAGCATTTCAAATACAGCTCTTCAATATTACTGCCTTTAAGTTTTCATGAATCCAACGTTGCTTATTAGATGTCTGGTACTGGGTCAGCCAACTTTGGTACTGCAACATGTTTAATGTTCTAACATGAATTTCCTGTGCATCATTTGCCACCAAAGAGCCTTCATACTGTATTGTTCACTTCCCTCAGATATCGGAAATCGGATCACTTCGCTGACCAAAACGGTCACCAGAATGCACAGTGACATGAAAGTGCTCCACCAGGTTTTGATGGATGACGGACGCGCTGCAAGCGACGCGTTGACAAGAGACGGCTCCTCCTTTCTGGGAAAATACATTGTTGGTGCCAAGAACAATTTCGTAGGTTTTAACAGCAAACTAGATGAGAAAAACACCTCACTTGAAGTGACAGTGCACCATGGAGGAGGAGGGGTCGAGACAGAGGGATCGAAGGACGAAACGGATCGGGATGTGATGGAAATGGAGGAAGGCAGAGCTAAAATAGAACCAGGAGAAGAGAAGGAAAGTGAGAATAAAAAGCAGGTGGAAGCAGACAAAACTGAAGTAAAGGAGGTAGTGGTGGCAGGGAAGAGTTTTAATCATTCAGAGGAGAAGCAAAAAGAAGAGGATGAAGCAGAAGGAAGAAGAGCGGGCGAGATACTCCCCAAACACACAGAGAAGACCTCCCAAAAAGCTCAAGGCAACAAAGTCAACAATGAAGAGACGGACATAAAGAAAGTGGCGAACAAGGTCAAAGACGTAGAGCTGCGAGAACAAAAAGTGGGGTCAGAATGGAGGAATGATGGCGCATTTGAACCCGATGGACCAAAGAAGTCTGGTGTCAGCCAGAGCAACGCAACACCCGCAGCCAAGAAAACCATTCCCTCGCCAACGGGCAGCAGCAGCTCCCACGACACGGGCTTCAGTGATGACGGGGCGATAGTGACTCCATAGCTTCGGAGACTAGCAAGTGTGATGAGAGGTAAAAGTTCCGCCTTTTCAGAGTATAGTCTTGCACTTTCATTTCATTTAGAGGTGCATCTAGGTGGGATATGTCAGACAGGAATGTATTGAGTAAAAAGATATAACGCTAAACCTAATTAGCTGCTGGATGTAGCTTCATATTCACAGAGAAGACATGAGCGGGGGATATTTCGCAATATACAGGGCCTGTAAACGCTAAGCTTAAATGGGTTGAAATAGCAAAATACATAAGGAAATATATTTCTTCCAGTTGGGCTTTTGGCTCTTTATGCTACACTCACTCATTTACTATATGTATATTTAATGTATGGCATTAAAAACGATTTAATTGCAAAAGGCCATGTTTGGTCATTGTGGTTTCTTTACACAAACAAACATCAGAACAAACAAAAGAATGGACATCGCGTGTAGGGAAACTGTAGCCAGTGATGCTTTAGTGTTGCTTTTCAGGAAGTGGCAGACCAACAACCTGCCACAGTTCAGGTTTCAGCTTGCTTCACACATTCTGCTCCCATGAGGTCACAGACATGAAAACACCAGTTCATTAATTCTTCACCCGCAGCAGCACCCGTCCCAAGACGAAGGCCGACCGGCCTCCCATGGAAAAAAACACCGTGAGCCGCCCTTTCGATGCACGATTACTGGATTGACGCCGTCACATTTTTCAATTGTTAGTGTTGTGAGTCCCGAAGAGTGTCGATAATTAAAGCACACTTTATGTAATTTTACAGAAAAACCCTTTATGTAACTCAGAAGCTGCATCCTGAAAGAGGATCCATGGTTTACCCTCTCCCTGCTCATGTCCTAATAAAGATGACATAACATTTAAAAAACAAAGCATGCTAGATACTTGGCACTTCAATATTTTCTTTTATGAATATAATACGTAAGTCCTGTTCTTACCTTCACATATTCTCACAAGTAATGCCACATATGTTATAACCATCATATGACCAGTTTAATTTCCCATTAATAAAACTCATTACAATAAAACTGTATTGATAAAAAGAAATACCACAAAATATTATTTGTGGCCTGTTAATTCTATACAAAAATGGATACAAAAAAATTCATGAGAAAATCCCTGAAAATGTGCGATGAAAGTCAGTGCTGTATGTAAAATGGAATATCTAATGCATGTAATAGAGAAACTGGTGGATAAGGGGAAGTGCCTTTTTCTGTGGGAACCAAACTTCACTTAGGAACCACACATCAGGCAATCTTCTTTGTTGGCTAAAGAACACATCATGGCAGCAGTGTTGCTCCGTTTGGTCTCCTGATCGGTCTTGGCCGACTCCTTTAACTTCTCTTTGTTGAGAGTGAACTGGATGGGGTTGGCGGCAGGCTTCGTCCGCAGGTAGTACATGCCAGTTTTCAGGCCCTGCAGAGAAAAGAAGACGGCCATTAGAGCGTTGTTTCTGACAGCATCTATCGAGTTCGTAGTCTCTCGGTCCCAACTTACCAACTGCCAACCATAGAAGTGCATGCTGGTCAGTTTGCCATAGTTTGGCTCTGCAATATGGATATTTAGGGACTGGCTCTGGTCGATGTAGGCACCACGATCTGCTGCCATCTTGAGGACAGTCTTCTGGGAGATTTCCCACACAGTTTTATACAGCCGCTTCAGCTCGTCAGGGATCCCCTCAATACCCTGTGGAGTGAGGACAGCAGAGGCCCAAAACATTATAGTGACATCTAGAGCAATGTTATTGAATAAGGGGATCAGCAGGTGGCTCTGGTTCTGAAAAGTTAAGCAGAGGAAGTGCCGTTGCCCTTTAGATTCTTTGATGGCCAGCAGGGGGCAACCTCTGGTTGCAAAAAGAAGACGGATTAAAGTCTATGAGAAAGTTACCCAACTTTATTTAATTTATTAGTGAATATTTAAAACAATCCCTCAATATCAAGTTTTCCTCAATACAGCATGTTGAAATGGTCCATTAAACCAGTGTGGCTAACTAAGAAGCCTCTAATGCATTTATTTACAAATGCCATTTTGAATTCATATCGGCCGAAGTTAGCTGGGGTGGACTCCAGCCCCCCCGCGACCCTGTGTGCAGGATAAGCGGTTTGACAATGGATGGATGGATGGATTTTGAATTCATCTCATAGCACTTACTTAGATGTGGTGTATACATTTACTTAACTTGCACTAGAATGATGGTAATAATTGAATGAATAAGCTTCAAGTGAACATGGGAGTGTGTTTGTGAGTGGATGAGAGTGAGTGTGAGTTTGAGTGTAGTGTAGAGAACAAGTTCTGAAACAAATCCTGTTAAAGTTTCTAATTTGTATTTTTCTTTATTTTTTATAAATTATTATGTTCAAGGAGCAACCTGTACTTTCTGTAAGTATTTTTTTAATGTGAATTTGCAGTTCTGTTTTAGGATAAAGGGTGGAAATTAAAGCTTTTTAATGCATTTTTTTTATCCGATTCATTGATTAATAAAAAAATAAATAATTGACTGATTAATCGATTATCAAAATAATCGGTAGTTGCAGCCCTAATGGAAATACATTATTTTATGAATGGAACATTGTAACGCCACTGGGTTTTATTAAATATGAAACACTGTTCCTGGAGGGGGCGGCACGGTGGCGTGGTGGTTAGCACTGTCGCCTCACAGCAAGAAGGTCCTGGGTTCGATTCCGCCCAGTGGCCTTTCTGTGTGGAGTCTGCATGTTCTCCCCGTGTCTGCGTGGGTTCTCTCCGGGTTCTCCGGCTTCCTCCCACAGTCCAAAGACATGCTCTGGGGATCAGGTTGATTGGGGACTTTAAATTGCCCGTAGTTGTGTGAATGTGAGTGTGAATGGTTGTGCGTCTCTGTGTAGCCCTGCGATTGGCTGGCGACCAATCCAGGGTGTACCCTGTCTATCGCCCGAAGTTGGCTGGGATGGACTCCAGCCCCCCCGCGACCCTGTGTGCAGGATAAGCGGTTTGACAATGGATGGATGGATGGATGTTCCTGGAGGATCCTTTACCTGGATTGACCCGTTCTGAGCAATCAGCTGGTTCTTCATTTCTTCACTCCACAGTCCTCTTTCGGTGAGGTCCTTCAGCAGGTGAGGATTCACAATCTATCGGTGCCGCAAAAAAAGACACTTAGCAACATTTCGCAATATGGACACAAGATGTACCGGTGTGAAGAAGAGAACCAAGCGCTGACCTGAAACTCTCCCGAGAGCACCCTGCGGGTGTAGATGTTGCTGGTGTAGGCCTCAATGGACTCATTGTTTCCCAGGATCTGGGCGGTGGAAGCTGTGGGCATGGGGGCCAAGAGCAGACTGTTCCTCACGCCATGCCTTAGCACACACAGGGGAACGCAGGATGAGGCACAATCCCAGCATGCAGTGGAGGAAACCTACCGACAAGGAAGACCTACGTGGCAATTTTCGCCTTCAATGCGTCCCAGTCACACAGATCGGTCGGGGTTTTATCCCACATGTCATACTGTAGGATCTGGGAAAACAAAACGAGTTAGAAACTGAGCCCAAACTGCCGGAGCGTATCCCACGATGGGTTTGAGATGAAAAGGACTCACTCCCTTGCTGACGGGAGACCCGGCGTAGGTTTCGTAGGGGCCGAGCTCCGCTGCCAGCTCACAGCTGGCCTCCAGGGCAGCGTAGTAAATGGTCTCAAAGATCTGAATGTTGAGCAACTGGGCCTCCGGGCTTTCAAAGGGAAAACGCATTAGGATGAAGGCATCGGCCAGACCCTGCACTCCGATTCCAATCGGCCTGTGGCGCTTGTTAGACCTCTCGGCCTGTAGAGCACGACAAAGGAGCCATTTGTTAACGGAGCACGTCCCTTCATACTCCTATTTAAATACACTTGAACTTTCACATACAATCTCTGTGTGGTGTTATGCACCACCCACCGTGACAAATTATTGTCCAACATAAATACTTTGGCAATAAATGGTCTGATTCTGAGCGTACCTCAATCACGGGGTAATAGTTGATGTCAATAATCTTGTTGAGGTTCTTGACAATGACTTTGGTGACCGATGCAAGCTTTTTGAAGTCAAAGCTCCTTTCTGAGGTGACATACATGTTGAGAGCAATAGATGCCAGATTACACACCGCAACCTGAGTCGAAGAAAGAACAAAATGAATGAGCATTAGCAAGGTAAAGGCTAATATGAATATTGCAGAAATGGCAACATCGCCCGCCACTCACCTCGTCTTTGCTTGTGTACTCTACGATCTCTGTGCACAGATTGCTGGATTTTATGGTGCCCAGATTCTGCTGGTTGCTCTTCCTGTTGCAGGCGTCCTTGTAGAGCATGTACGGTGTACCAGTTTCTGTCTGCGACTCAATGATGCCGTACCACACCTGCTGGGCCTTCACCACACGCTTGGCCCTGCCCTCCTTCTCGTACCTGGAGGATAAACCGGACACACGGGACAGGGTTGGTTAGCTGTAAGAAGTGAGCCGTTTGTTAAAAACAGAGATTCGGTGTGCCGGTCTTACCGAGTGTAAAGCTGCTCGAACTCCTCTCCCCAGCATTCATTTAACCCAGGACAATCACTGGGACACATTAGAGACCAGTCCTACAGGAGAGAAATGCCCCTTTAACAATAAAGCCTACAACGGATGACAGGAGAACACAACACGCTGGAATCCGACTGTGACCGAGTTCGTTCCCTCGGCTGTTCACCTGATTGCTCTCCACTCGTTTCATGAACAGGTCAGGGATCCACATGGCAAAGAACAGATCTCTGGCTCTCTGCTCCTCTTTACCAGTGTTCTTCTTCAACTCTAAGAAGTCAAACACATCGGAGTGCCACGGTTCCAAGTACACGGCGAAGGCCCCGGGTCTCTGAAGGAGCAAAGACAGAGCGGGTTTATAAAACCTACAACCACGAGTGCCTGAGGACGCCCAGCTGCATCGCAGTGTGCAATACAAAAGTCTACCTTGTTGCCCCCCTGGTCAACGTAACGTGCTGTATTGTTGTAGACCCGAAGCATAGGAACCAGCCCATTGGAATTGCCATTTGTCTGAAAAAACATAATCACTGTAAGTAACGCAAAAACTAACAAACAATAAAAAGCTGTTCTATATCTGCTTGATTTGATTTGAATTTCACTCACCCCAGCGATATAGCTGCCCGTTGCTCTGATACAGCTAATAGCCAATCCAATACCTCCAGCTGTCTTGGAGATGAGGGCACACTGTTTCAGGGTGTCGTAAATACCTTCGATGCTGTCATCTTTCATGGCGAGCAAGAAACAACTGAGAAAAAACAGACACATCAGATCACGCAGGGAGGAGGGGTACAACTAAGATTTGGTCAACATGGCTTAAGTTACCTTGACAGCTGTGGCTTGTTGGTGCCTGCATTGAACAGAGTAGGTGAGGCATGAGTGAACCACTTCTCTGACAGGAGGTTGTAGGTTTCAATGGCAGCGTCGATGTCTCCTTGATGAATCCCGACCGCCACTCTCATTAGCATGTGCTGGGGCCTCTCGGCAACTACAAAAAAAATACACCAACATTTATGAAATACACAATCACATTTGAGTCTTTGCACAAATTAACTTGCTTCTCGGGAAGCTGTAGGAGCTCTTACCTTTGCCGTTAATCTTCAACAAATACGACCGCTCAAGAGTCTATTACAGTAACAAGGGGAAATTTGACTTGTTAGTAAGAATCTGCTCGAGATATGGAACGTAGAAATGAAAAATGAATTACCTTAAAGCCAAAAAAGTTGTAGGAGAAGTCTCGGTCGTAGATGATGGCTGAGTTCAGGCGCTGCATAACATAATGCATATAATTATGTTAAAAATGCTTACTGTCATTTAAATAGATTAAAAAAAAAAAGTAAAGGTGACTTACACCCTTGTTTTCCAGTACAACATCATGCATCTCCTTGGAGATCATAGGGGAGTGCTTTTTATTTAAGGGGTTCACATAGTTGTAGAGGTCTTCCATCACATCTACAAAAGCGAGGAGGAGAGAGAAAAGTCCATATCAGAAACCATAATTTAAATACTTTAACAACGTAGAACCAATCAGCCCAAGATTTTTCAAGAAGAACCAAATTCCATACCATGTGCAGCACCATGCGATGGCTCAACTAATGTGTAGTGCTATTATCATATTATATAATAACACATTACATACATAAAGATTACGTATCTTGCAATGGAGCAGAGTATTTCCTGAGGAAACTTAACTTACCACTGAATACTTTCTTGGTTTCTTTATGGAGATTAGAAACGGCTATACGCGCTGCCAGGAGAGCGTAGTCGGGATGTTTGGTGGTCAGCGTGGCCGCGGTCTCTGCTGCCAGAGTGTCCAGCTCCACAGTGGTGACTCCACTGTACAGACCCTGGATCACCTTCATGGTAATCTGGGCCTGCAGGTGGTAGAACATCAGGCGTCAACAGTGTCACTTGTTTACTTCATTTTTTAAAAATTTTTTTTAAACTTTGAACGTTGAACTTTATACTCACAGGGTCCACAAAGTCACAGTTGAGTCCATAGCAAAGCTTCTGAATGCGAGATGTGATTTTATCAAAAGTGACTCCCTCATGGCGTCCATCTGCAATACAAAAAAGGCCATTTTTATTCAACATTTCTAGCAATTTCTAAGGAGTTTATGAATAAAATTGTGGTAAACAATGAAGAAATCACTGTGCCCTGGTTTATATTCTTTTTTTTTATCCTGATCAATCATCTTAGATGAGGCCTACGCTCAACACATGTATATCTAGATATTATGACAACAAAAACCCTATTGTGTTGAGCCAATACCGGATATGCCAAATATGATTATAAATATGAACACTCTACTAACACATGCATGAAGGAGGTAAGTTGAACAAAAAGCGGTGTGTTACACATCAAAAGCTAGACAGCAATAAAATGATACGTTACGTAATCAGTTATGTTACGGGTTTGAGTCCATTAAAATATTTAAGCAAAACATTATTTAAAATAAAGGCAGGCAACAAACTTGCAAACTAAGCTTTTGTATTCCCATTCATGAAGTCTTTGTTTGGTGTGTGGACGACTACACGCCACACAAAGAAACATAAAACATCCTTTAAACATGACGGAATAAAGCACAAGACTAACTTATTTGGAGTATTAACATTACATAACGTTATATCGCAACTTCAATACATTTAGAGATATGTCCAAGAACTCGACCTCCCAGGCACCGTAACAATGCATTAAATCGACAGTATTTGAAAAAAACGGTTCCCTAGTAAACTAATACTTGAAAGTGAAGCTACTTTACCTCGTTTAATGACATGCATGTTGGCAAAGTAGCTGGTTTCCTGAGAAAGAAGTGGATAATGTTCTGTCCTGAGCTTCCAAACAAACAAAGCAACCGAGGAATAGAATTGGAATACAAGGTTTGCTCACTGAGCGCGATTTAACACAGTTGAATCTTAAACCGAGGGCGCCAAAGAAGAGCCAATGACATCCGATCAGAGTAGACACGTGTTTACCGATCACATCACTTCATGTCGTAATTTCCGGACAGATCTGGGGGTTAAATTGTTAACCTATACATAATACATATATGAATCCTATAAAGCTTGGTCTAAACGTCCAAAACCTTTTTTGAAAGTATTTATGTTTTTTATGACTATTAAAAACGAATTATAAGTTATAGCTGAAATAAACACAATGGCGAACACATACAGTAAGCTAGAACTTGACTGTTGCGTTAACATAGTATTTCGCAATTTTATTTTGAAGAAACAAAACCCAAAGAGAACCGGATGCGATCCTCTTAGGTTTGTTGCTAATGCTAATGGCCCGGAACGGTAAAGCAGCACTCCGAAGATGGCCGGGGTGTTCGAGGTGGAGGTTGATGGTGTAGAGCACGACCATGGCTTACAGCATCACGATGAACCGCACCAGGTGGGAGTACTGGGCTACTTCGGCGTATTTTGACCGATATAACGTCAGTTTCTTAGTACCCGCTTTCCAGCTGTCAACTGGGGACTCAATGTGCGCTAACTAACGTTCTTCCTGGGATTAGCCTCACGTAAGCAGCTAGCTACTGTTTAGTGACCTGAAACAAAGCAGAGGCATTTGCTCTGTTAGATAGAAATGTCCATTCCACTTTGCCGATTGTGGTTTGCTTGACAAAACAGTGGAGCGGGCGAGAAACGCCCAGAGAGCATTAACGTTAGCTGTCTTAAGCTAGCCGGCTAATTTTAACTTCGATGCATTAATCTGGTCAACGTGTCTCAGGTGCTGTCGTTAGAAAACAGAGGTCACATTTATTTAACCTTATTCACACGCGTATTTTCACTGCAATGTTCAGAAACCAACTCTACGGATAAAGCTGATGTGGCCGACCGGTTCAAAGGTCAAAGGGTGCCATTTTTTTTGCTGACTGCCTAGAGATGTATCAGTGTCATCAGGGTGGAAACCAAACCACTTCCCTTCTTAAACCAAACCTGCATGTCGAAGTGGTGCAGGAGTTCACAGTGTACAAGAGACACTATTGCATTTCACACCCACACATGTTTGCATGTTTGGAAGGCATCTATTCCTAATGCTGTTTTTTTAATGTTATTTTAATTATTACTCCTTCAGGAAAATACATCCTCCTTATCAGCAGGACGTGTGATTTGAATATTAGTTTTTGAACCTGTAGCTGGATACCTGTTAATGTAGCCATGGCCTGCCTACATTTATGTGCCTTTTTTGTTGCTTTAACAAGAGAACATTGCATTCATTATTTTTATCTGCTGTTAATTCCAGTCAGGTTGAAGTAGGTAAACAAGCTCAACAACTTGGGAGGCACTTAGCAAGTTTTGATTACAATGGCACTTGGGATTGGCAAATATTTCATAGGTGTGTAGACTCTGCTTTGACACACACCTATTTCGTATTGCTGCTCAAAATTTCAATTATTTATAGGCTGTGTAAGTAGTATGCAATGTGAAATTATTGGTTTAAAAAAGACATTGGCTTCTAGGTGATGCTGCACATGATGGTTTGGTGTTATTAGATTGTGCTTTGCGTTTTCAAGGTTTCAGGTTTATAGTGTGTTCTGCGAGTAAACACTGTTGGCTCAAAGTAATGGTCGTTATTTTGACTTATTTCCTTTCTTTAGTTTGATGTGTCCAAACTTTCACCAGAAGAGAAGTGGAGGTTTGTATCTTTGCTACACCTTTCATATAGAATTCAATTTATTTTTGTAGCATAATATCCGTACTCTCTCTTTGAGATGCGCTCCAAGAGAAGAGAACCTAATCTCTGCTACAAAATTCAGTATTTGCACTAAAAGGTGCACAGTAACAATTAGACATTTTCATTTGGTAATACACATTGTTTCTGGTAAAAGAAAAATGTAACTGATGGATAAACTTTAGATTAGTATTGAATTCCACATGTTCCCCCCAGTAGGAGACACCAACGTGCATAGCTGTACAGTGCACGTTTAACTACACGGCCGTCTAAAATAAGAACTAGACCCATAACATTAGCTGAGTTTGTTCTTCTTTTTCCACAGGGTGGAGCATGCAAGAATGCATGCCAAACACAAAGGTCATGAGGCCATGCACGCAGAGATGGTGCTGATCCTCATCGTCACGCTTGTTGTTGCACAGCTAGTCCTTGTGCAATGGAAACAGAGACATCCAAAGTCATACAATGTAAGACTCCATTTGTTTGAGATTTTGTTCTGAAGTTTGGATATCTGGATATATATTTAGAGTTTAGATGTACCGTGGTGTGAAGATCCATAATTAGGGGGAGTTTTCTCTCGATGAGTAAACACTAGGGGTGTAACGATTAATTTTAACAACGCGATTCATGGTTGCCAATTCGATTCATGGACGATCTGGGTTAATTTAGAACGATTCGATTCAGTGACTTGAAATCGATTCAGTAACTTTACTGGACAGTGCAGACAAAGTTTCTGAGATCCCTGTTGTTTCTTGTAAGGAAATCAGGTTTAAATTAATTATGGATATTATAAACAAGCAAACAACAATTAATGGCAAATGTATTAACCTTTTAATTTGAATCAAGTGTCATTTTCAATGTAAACATTGCACAATCATTACACAATGTTTGGATCAATTCACAGAACCCCGGATTTTCAACCACGTTGTACGGTCGCATGTCTTTACAGCTAAACTTGGCAATTGTTACTGTGATGTTGAGTTTCGTGCTGGCGAGGCCTGAGGTGTCTGTAATCGATATATGTCGTCCGGAATGCCGATTTGCGGAGCACAGATCAATTCAGTTGGATCGCAGGAATATAAATCGATTAATCGATTCAGTAAATGAATCGTTACACCCCTAGTAAACACGTGTATATTATAAATTGATGCCAATACCCTTTTCTCAATTAAGGATACATCTAGTCTTTTCCTTCCTGTCTGAAATTATCCAAATATGAAGTGTTATCAGTAGTGTCCTTGTTTCTATGATAAGACAATGTCCGATGCAGCTAACTTGTTCTCCCTGATGTACGTGCATCTTGTAATACAGGAGTTCTCAACCTCGTCTTATTTTTACGTTTCTGAAACTGATCCATTTTGCTTTAGTGCAGCCAATGGAAAGCCACCTCGTACTAATTGGCCAGACAATTTTGTCCAACGTGGGGGGGGGTATTCAAATGTAACTGTTCATTGAAATCATGCACACTGGTGTTGTGTTTTGAGCCTAAATTGAATTCAAACCACTTGGCTGTAACACTGCATGCCACACAATGGTGCCCTGAAGAGCCCCCCCACCCCCGCCCTCCACTGTCCCCCACCGTGGTGTGATCGAAGAAAAAGAATAGCTGCTCTAACACGTTTGTTCTGCTGTCTTGTAGCTGGTGACTCTGTTCCAGATGTGGGTAGTTCCTCTCTACTTTACAACCAAACTGCACTGGTGGAGGTTCCTGACCACATGGTTTATCTTCTCTGTCATCACAGCGTACATCTCATTCCGTGCCACTCGCAAGCCACTAGCCTGCACCACGCCGAGGTACAACATGCTGCAGTGATGTTAATGTAGAGGTGTGCCTCTCTGTTACTGTGGATGAAAGTGTCCCTGACTTACTCTGACATACCCGTAACATATTCCCTCCCTCTGGCGGCTGTAGGCTGGTGTACAAGTGGTTTCTCCTTCTCTACAAGATCAGCTATGCCACGGGAATAGTTGGCTATACTGTTGTCATGTTTACACTTTTTGGTATAAACCTAATATTCAGGTATGTGGTGTTTGTTGCATATTATTTCTGTTGTTTGTAAATGAACCATTTCCATACATTTAGGTGGATGTTGACTTTCAACATGGAACACATACACTTCAAAAGCATTTTGAAGGTAGTCGTAGTTTCCCCCGTGTTGTTTTAGGATGTATGAAGTTCAGGTTGTCCCAGTATATGGGCTTGTTTTTGCCTCTTTTTTTCCCAATGTTCCTGTTGATCCTCAGCGCTCCTGCCGCATCCATCAGTTATCAGAATCCCTTGCTGACCTCTGGTGTATGTGTTTCAACATAATCTACGTTTCTATGTGAAGCAAACCTCGTGCGAGGAGTTTAAACGCGTCGTCACTAATACGTTTTCGAATCTGAGTGACATGCAAACGTGCGGGTAGTTATCACAGAAACTTCCCTTGAAACAAGCAAATAACAAATGATGCGTTTCTCTCTTCCTAAGCGCTACACGTTTTCTGCTGATACAGGAAGTGGTAAAACAATACAACTCCTAATATAGTAGTGCTCTCACTAAAGCGCTCGAATGATCGCAGGGCAGTTTGTACAGGTTTCACATCAACGTACTGGAATTCAAACCAAGTGAATGCTGTCTTTCTAAAATGTAATTTTTTACTGTACACGGCTAATCTGTTTTATGAGTAGAAGTGGTTGTTGCCGTACACCACGTGAGGCTGAATTTGTTCATGGGGTAGAGCTGTCAAAATTGCTCAAAAATGACGTTCGAATATTGGCTTTAAAAAAAATACATATATTTGAATATCTAGTTGCGCATTAGACACGTCAATAACGGCACAAATTAATACGAGACAAAACTACTTGTATAGGTAAGTTAAAAATTTCTTAACAACATATTACCTACACAAAAATAAGTAAAAGAACTAATGGAGAAGACCACCGATCGCTCGAGCGCACACACGCACTCTCTCTCCCGTCAGTGCATGAAGCTGTTGTAGCCTATTTTATTCATGCAATATAGTCAGTACCGTCAGGCGTGCACGCCCGTCCGCAAAGCAGACAGTCGCGCCACAGTTTGTTTTGTTTTTTCATTCGAATATTCATTTTCATATATATAATAATAAATATAGAATATTCGTTGACAGCCCTTTCATGAGGTGCATCTTCTGTCCAGGATAAAACCGGAGGACGCCATGGACTTTGGCGTGTCACTGCTGTTCTACGGTCTGTACTACGGCGTCCTGGGGAGGGACTTTGCAGAGATGTGTGCAGACTTCATGGCTTCGACTGTTGGGGTACGCAGACAGAATGAGGACACTCGTGTGTCTCGTTGGAGGCAACTGCAGGAAGATCGAATTTAATTCAGACCGTCCCCCTTTTTGTTGTTGTTGTAGTATTACAGTGCATCTGGAATGCCCACCAAGCACCTGTCTGACAATATCTGTGCCGTGTGCGGTCAGCCCATCCTCGTCGATGTCAGTGAGGAGGGCATCATCGAGAACACGTACAGATTATCCTGCAACCATGTGTATCCTTTCCCGGTAAGATCTAGATATATTTCTTATTTTATCGGTGAAAAGTATTTCCCGTCTGTAAAAGGCGTTCCCTATTTAGAACTGTACTGTGTACTCAATTCGCTGCTCAAAGAGGAATTGGCAGACTTATCTAACTTGACCTTTTATGTCAGAATGTGTTATTATGGTGTGTTATCTAAATGTGTATTACTTCCCTGTGGTAGTGTTTGTCCACTGTGAATTAACAGCCAACAGTTTTGAGTTTAGCAGTGTCTTGCTGCTAGTAATAATTACAGAGCCCAAATCACATATCAGCAGATTACGTTTTCATATTTCAATTCCTGCTCAGTGTGAGCGGCCAACGGTTTAATGCACTCCCTATAAGCAGAACACCTTCTAGAACTCATGCTACACAATACAGTGCGAAGCCTTAACTCCACATCCAGGTTCCATGAGTTTTGCATAAGAGGATGGTGTATCGTCGGAAAGAAGCAGATGTGCCCGTACTGCAAAGAGAAGGTGGACCTGAAGAGGATGTTCAGTAATCCGTATCCTTTTTTATCTTGTTTCTATGCTGCTTTGTTTTTGTGGGTTTGTCAACTCCCGAGTTGTTGTCATTTAATAATCTCATAGTAATGTGCACTCATAGACTGGACAAAGGGGGGAGGAGAGTGAGAATAACTTTAAATTGGTCATTTATACAGATGACAGCCAGCCAGCTTCGAGTCATGCAGAGTTTCAAGGGGTGAGACCTCTTTCTCGTAACTGTGGGGAATTTTTACTGGCAAGTTGTAAGTGGATTTTACCGGCAGAATCATTGAAGGCTGTCTGGAACGAGGTACAAAAATTGTATAGGTCAGACACTAAGTTCCTGTTCCTTTTTGTGGCAACCGTGTTGCTCTATAACAGATATAATGTCCAGAAACTGAAAGTGATTTTTACAGTTATGTGCCATCACTTTTTTAGGGATTTATATATATATATATATATATATATATATGCATATATATATATATATGCACATATATATGTTTTTTCCTTAATTGATTTTGCTTTAGTTGGGAGAGGCCACATGTCATGTACGGACAACTTTTAGACTGGCTTCGGTACTTGGTGGCCTGGCAGCCTGTTATCATTGGATTTGTTCAAGGCATCAACTACGTCCTGGGTCTGGAGTGACCTGTGACACGCAGAAATGGACACACAACCCAAAAGGAGACGACACGCACTGGCTCAGAAGACTGAGGGCCCAACGTTGAACTAAAACACCAATTAAAAGTGTCTATACTTTTTGTATATATTTATAGGCACATACTATCTGTATTTACAGTTTATTCAAACTTTATTGGTAACCTGAATTTGGATGTATTATCAGTTTCCCCAGATTTGCTTTAAACTTGGTTTGTGCGACCTACGGCCCAGTGAAGCGGTTCTAATCATTAGGGAGGTGCTTTTTGCTGATTTAAGTCTTAAGTGTTTGTTAATTCTTAGTTCAAGGGTCATGATGGAGAATTGTTCATCCTCATGTCTGATGGCTCACACAAAATTAATAGAGATTAGTGATCGCTCCCTGGACATCCAAAGCCCACACATGGAAGACATTTGGCCACTGAACATTTCATGTAATCACTCATACGAACTGGAGTGATGTCAGAGAGGGTTTCTTATGTGCATTGTCATTCTGGGGGAAAAACGTTTTTCGTTAAACGCAGGGTTCTCGATACAGTAGTTTGGAAAAAAAGGAACTGGATGTTACAAGATTTCCAAATGTTTCTGTGGGGATAGTCATCGATACCATCTGAAGAAGCGTAATCCGATTTACTTTGACCTTTTGAGTATTATACAATATCTCAGTCACTTGGTTTCTACGAGTAGAGGAAGGTCACTGTGTTCCAGGCTGTTTTTGTTTTTATTTAAATTGTGAGTTCACAAAAATATCTCACCTGTGGTTTTTTGCCTTATTGATAGTTTGGGGTATTTGGGGCCAGATATTTTCTTTGGAACTTCTTTCTACAAAATAAATGGTTCTTGTAAAGCCTTTGTGTTCTGTAGGTTATTCTAGATGATTGGAACGTCACATTGTGTTTTTTTTTATATTAACTAATCTTTTAACGCTGAGCACTACAAAGTAAATGGAACTGCCCTGCGTTGTATTGTGGTGGCAGCAGGTGTCCCAGAGCCTGGCATACTAAACTCAAACTATCTGCATTGGCTAAATACTACTAGAGATCCAATGTTGGTGAACAAAAACTGTTCTGAGCTTGAGGCGAACCACGAAGCGCAAACCAAAACAATGATACCAGTTACTTTACTAAGAACTTAGAACTTAATATGATTAGAAAAGTAATTACAACTATTGTAGAATGATCTTTTAACTCAGTGAGCGATGATGCCCGTTTTATTTTGTGTGTCTGTGTGTGTTCTAGTCTAAAGATGCTGGGAGCGGGTTGTTTTTCCTGCAGGTACCGCTCACTCCTTCACTTGGACCACAAACCCAAACGAGTACGACTAGGCAGACGTGATCGTTTTGTTTTGTGACCCAAGATGAGTTAATGTCACATGGTTCAGATCATCCGTAGTTTTTTGCATCCTTGAGGTTTATTTGTGTGTGTGTAATTCATTTTATTCATCAATACATAAATTGTCTGCAAAATTAAATCACATCAAGTTTGAGAGCTGTGAACGAGTCTGGATGGTTGATCTTAGTAACCAGTGTGTCACCGTGTTTTGAGGAAACGCTCCACGTGCTAAGTAAACATGGGTACACTCATTGTTTGAAGTGGGCGTAGGGAAGTGAGTGACTGCAGCTTCTCCATATAAAGCACCACACGGCAGTCTGCAGCTCATCGAGGAGTCGACATGAAGCAGTCTTCTGTTGTCCAAGGTAATTATACTTTGTAATAGCAACATCATTTCCCCTCGTAATTTGGGATTGGTAGTGAATGTCTTGTATCTCTGCATTAGCTTTGGGGTATCTGAGTCTGCTGCTTGCAGATGGATTTCCAGGTTCAGTATATTTTGGGTGACAATTTCTTCTGATTCAATCCCGTCTTGGTGCTAACCTAAACTTTCTCTTCAGTTCCTCAGGATGAATCCCCAAAGATCATCGGACCACATTGCGTCAAAATAAAAGCTCATCCAGGTAAATTTATTTAATCCTCCTACTATTGCACCAATTCACCTAGTAAAATGTCTCCATGTTCAACATGTGTGAAGCTATTTGTTTGTGATGGGTTCGGCTGTATTGTGACTTACAGGTGAGTGGCTGTTTCTTAACTGTGAAGCATTTGCAAACAGTAGAGACACGACGCTCATCTACTGGCTCGTCAACGGCGCTTTCCCCGAAGACCTGCTCAGCTCTGAGAGAATAGTGGAATCAAAGGAGTGAGTATTATTTTGTTTTGGCCGACTCTGAAATCAGCTGCCGAGCTACAGTGTAGAGAGCAGGACAAAGTGACCAACCAGGAGCTGAGATGTAATGGCCACGTTTGTTTTAGATCAACTTTGGATAACGGCGCGATCCTGCAGAGAAGTTTGATGTTGAAGAACGTCACGAGAGAGGACCTCCAATCCAGCTTCACCTGCGTTGTGACGAACTCCGCTGGGATGACCACAAAGAAAATCAAACTGGCAGCGAGGGGGAAAAGCAGACCGCGGAAGGCTCTCAGCTGTGTTTCAACTTAACGCCCACTAACACATCTTTAACGAGTCAAAATGTATCTGTGGGTTCACTGTTCTGTTGTACTGTTTAATGGGAGAAATACGCCAGAGAGAAGTTGGATAAAATAAATGTACAAAGGTTCCAGAGTAGAACATCATTTTTTTTTGTTTGGTTTTCCCACCAATGAAACCAAAAGTGTGATGTGACTCATTGTGATCCTCTGGGAAGAACTTACGGTGAAATCCAACAAACCGGAGTGTCTGGTTCCTCTCACAGTGAACATCTGATGCAGCGTTTTTCAAAGGAAACACGGCTTCAGGAGGTGGCATTTCATGCTGAAACAAATGCACCCTAAAGGACCATCTCTGAGATGATGAATATACGATGTAACGTTACATTTCTAACCTGTTTGCTGTAGTTGTGTATCATTCCAGTGTCTGTCTGCAGATTTGACAAAGATAAAACGATTCTCGATTCTGAGACAAAGTATGTTGGCATCCTGTGGTGTTTCCATTGAAATGTATTATTAATTGTACCACTTCTAACTTGTTTTCCAATTCACCAACCAGCAGTCACTCTGCAGACACCTTTTAGCTTTTTATGTGGGATGAACAGCCCTTCAATGTGAATACTGCGTTACACACCAAACATTTATATGAAAAACACAAGCTGCTAACAGAAACAAGAATTTTTGACTACATAAAAAGATACAAATATAACTTTCAAACAAGGCCCCTTATTTCCTTTAAGCTTTAATCTATATTAAATATTAAAACATTAGTTCTGAACTTTCTCAAAAGATTGTCACCACAGCCGTGTAAGTGGGAAAGTAATCAGCGTGTAAGTCGATAGATTAGTGCTATTCCAAATTCAGTGGAAACATTAATAGTTATTTAGTGTCCAATTGAACCTTTCACCTCAGCTCGTCGAGGCAGCGGGTCAAGTGGGTTTTCCTGCCTTGAGACACATTTCCTCTCATCCTCTCCCTGATGAATCCGACGGCGTCCGCGGCGAACGTCGGCCACTTAACAGTACATGTGCAGAGCGGCTGGAGGAGCTCCAGGTTGGTCTTGAGGCCCATTCCGAGCAGGAAACGCGTCAACATGTCCAGTTTGCCGTCTTCGCACCGCAGACTGCTGTCCACGGCACTCTTGAACAGGTCCATCACCGTGGGCACCTTGAAAAACCCTTTCACCCTGCCTCTCACGTGCCGCACGAAAATGTTCTTCCCCTGGTTGGTGAAGGAGAGGAACGCGTAAAGTGCCGCCATGTACTCCTGCACCGTAGGGTGTATGAAGCTGATGTAGTTCTCGTGATGTAGCACGATTGGACACGTGAGGTATTGCGTGCAGAGGCCGCTGTTGATCACGGCCTCCTCGACCGGGATTCCAAGCTCCTTCCAGTCGTACCTTGAGATCTTAAACTGTCCTTGCTCCAGCATGTTGAACGCCAAACCTCCGAGTTTCATGAAGAACTCTATCTCTTTGTCCGGGCTAACATCCGGAGCTCTGTGTTTGCGCCGCCGCCGGGTGAGCGCGGAGAGCAGCTTGGTGTACATGTAGGCGATGTTGCTGGGCGGCTGCGCCGGCGCCGTGGGCTCCCCGAAGATGTGCTGGAACTCATCGCCGACCAGCGAGCAGAACAAGGGCAGGTGGCACATGATGCGGAGGGTTCTGGAGGAGTCGACGTACGCAATGACTCGAGCCGCCTGATCCGGGTCCTTGAACCTCTTTCGAAAGTACTCGTTCTTTTGAGGGTCGAGGAAGCCGCGCACATCTATCTCTTCGTAGTGCGTGTCCCAGGGAATGGAGCGCTTCAGCTGAGTTCGAGAGGTGATGAGGAAGAGGCCTTGGTAGAGCAGCTTGTCTCTGAGGAGGTTCACCACGATCACGTTCAGCGTGGTGGACTCCGACAGGTCGCTGAGAGGGAAAGCGTAGTGAAAGTCCAGCGCCCCGCTGTACTCGTCCAGACCGTCAAAGATAAACATTATTTTGCAGTCGTCACATCTGTAATCCTCCTCCCTCAGTTTCTTGGTTTCCGGGTAGAGCGTTTGTAGTATTTCCATCATGGAGACGGGAGAATTCTCAAACTGTTTGAGTTCTCTGAAGGGCAAAGGAAACATGAGGGAGACGTGTTGGTGGGACTTCCCTTCAATCCACTCGAGGATCAACCTTCTCACCGCCATAGACTTCCCGGACCCCGGCAATCCCGAGAGCAGCATTAAATTGCAGTGGGTGTGTTCCAGGCTTTCAGTGCTCAGTATGTCTTTGGTAGAAAGCAGTTTCGCGTCATTCGTGTTACTGTCCAGCTTTTCTATAGTCAAGACCTCATGTTCAATATTTGGGCCGTTGTCACAGGTCGAGGTTATGTAGAGATCGGTGAAGACTTCGTCTAGTGGTCTCTTCTCTCCCTGCACAGGACCGTCACATACTTTGCCGTATTTCATCTTCAGAGTTTCGCTCAAATTGTGACGTACTTCATCTGGAAAAAATGTGCATTTCAAGAATTAACAGTCTTTTCTTTCAAACTGATAGTGAACTGGGTGACATTTAAATCATTTTGCACTTACTATACTCTCCTTTACCTTGAGTAAATATATAAAACCGTTTTGCTAGATTAAATTACCAGTACGGTAATAAGACATTCAGACATACAAAACCCAACTTACTTCTAATGCACAGAGTCTGAAGATAATCAATCATCGTGTTTTTTCCAATTTCCTCAAGAAGGATTTTGGTGATATGCAAAGAAACATCCAGGCTGAAACACTCGAGCAGGCGGTCCACAAGGTCCACCATGTCCATGCTTTGGGAGTGAGTGTTGAATGACTGAGGGTAACGCTTCCACAGCCTCATCTTGAACTCCTTAAGGTCTCTCTCGGGCAGCTTCCGAAGGGTTTTGGAAATAGCCTGATTCCAAAGAAACCATTTGATTGAATGCTGCTATTTTCAAAAAAGACCATATCTTATATCTAAAGAAAAACAATGAATACAAAAGGGAAAGTAAACTAACCGTGAAAGTGAACGCTACGGTCAGGAAAGGATTCTTTATTAGATCTGGCTCTGGTATGACATCAGGTGTGTCAGAAAGCTCAGGGACGGAATCCTCTTTTTCCTCTTTTTCCTCTTTTACCCTGGTGTGCAGTGGAGAGGTTTGAAGACGTTTTAGTTGAGAACATAATCAAACACATGTCAAAGTGCTATGACTGGGTTTATTTCTCACTTGGGGACCATCTTTTCACAATCGTCACTGTCCAATGAATAGCAGCTTGAGTATGAATCTGCTCTGATCAGCTGAACCCTAAAAACAGGAATGGAGAGAAAAGGGCTTAGATTATATTCAATTTAACTACAAAATGTAATTGTAGTTTTGCAATGAAAGTAACAACATGGTGTAGTATATTGAGAAGTACGTACAACAAGCACGAATGAATGCATAATTTTAAAGACTGTTTTATGGTACTTTGTCTGTTTTTTACCTTGTGGGGGATCCATGTTCCAGATGCATGCTATTTGACATCTCTGCACTTGTCATTGATCTGTAGCTCACAGCTGGAGAAAAGGCCTTGTCCACATAATGCCTAAGTAGATAAATTCATCACATTCAAGTCAGGTATACATCACATCATGTATATATTACCTTCTATTACCGATATATTATAACTACTGAGCTGCCACTTTTCCGTTTCACATAAGGTTGAAGTAATATCTGTTTTACTTTGTACTTCAAAATCTGTAAAAAGGCAAATGATAACATGAGTAGTTGTCTCACTACTCTACATGAAAAAGAATGACTACCCTTCAGTGAGTGAGAGGGGCCCTTGGGGCTGGTAAAAACCTCCCTACCACTGGCTGGTATCCATTGGACTGGGCCCTAGGTCCAGAGAAGGTCTTCTCTCAGGGATGTAGTAGAGCATGTCGTCTTCTTCTTCTTCATCGAGCCCACTCTGTCGTCTGCCAGACCCTGCACTGCCGAGGGAAGAGCTGCGTGACACAGCGGGCGACTCCATAAATTCACTGTCGGCCATCATTTCATGGAAAGGATCCGCAAACAACTAACATGACCGGCACATGCGCTGATCCCTTTGTGTTTGCCAGAGACGGTCGCAGTTGAGGGGACTGTCCGTGCCTGCAAAGGATCATGGGAGAATACGACACATCAGTTCTCAAAGAGTGTATAACATGCACTGGATTTTCAGGTTTCTACTGTTGAACGAAAGCCAGTTTTCCGCACTATATTAACACAGTATTGACTCGTGAAAATTACATGTAGACACCAGATTTGTAACCACTGTAAGGTCATGCTAGCCCCCACTTCAAAAAATACGATTGAGCGATGAGATTACTGGTCTGTGTAAATGTATTCTTTTCTATTAACATAGTTGAATAAGTAATTACACAATTGAAATTACACGTTTCCTTCCATACAGTTCGCATGCAGTAAATATATACTTCACTGTGTTGTTTTGTAATATATTACCACATCTTTATATTATTTACAGACTTATTGCATGAATTTGACATGTTCCTTTACGGTCACTGGAACCACTTACCGTAATACTCGGTGTGCACGCGTACCGCAAAACAACGTGCGCGCTAGCTTGACAGCTCTGTAACATGAGTTAGCTTTAGCTTTAGGTCTGAAGTAACGAGCGAAGTGTTTTACAGGGAAGCACTCCCCCTCTTATCCTAAGGTAGTTAGTGTATTTGGTTAGGAACATTTAAAGTTAGGCTTGCTCTGGAGATAAAGTAAGTTTTCCTTCATATTATTTCTAATATCAAACTTGCAAATGTAAAATTACGATGGCAGATTACGATAACAGCTTTGCTCCACCGAGACAGACGGCGAAAGCTTTATTCAGGCAACTTTACACCCCTCTTATAATGGCAAGAAGTAAGTAAATAAAAACAAAAGCTACTTCCATGAATCCATATTTGTTACTTTCTGGTTTATGCAAGAAACAGCCCATTTACGTACCCTCGCTTCAGGAAGTAGTGTTATTCCCCCTGCATGTGGTTCACACTCCTGGCCTGTAGGGGGCGAGAGAGCGAGACAGCAGACTCTCTCGCTCTCTCGCCCCCTACGGGTCGGGAGTGGGAACGACATTCAATCTACTTACACATTCTATAATGATACATCTGAACAATGCAACTGTCGTCTATATGTGTTTTCTTCCCTAACTTTCTGTTCATCATACAATGAGTAGGATGTTTCATGTTATACAATAACTGTTGTTGATGTTGTTGTAGTATCTTCAAGCTTGTGGATGATATCTGAAATGTTTGACATGGCAAAGTAACTCGGCACATTATTAGTTTTCATTTTTACTTGACCCATTTGACCCACAATGCAACTTGAGTGCTGAGAGTCCTGTCACAGATGTCAAAGATTTAAAAACTTTTCAAAATATGAGAGAATGAAAGTAAAAAGTCAAAGTCAAGCCCCATCCATGTGGTTATTGCTTATGTTGAATGTCAAATCAAGCACTGTTGGGGTATTATTTCTTCTTCTTCTCTTAATTCTATCAAGTATAGCTATTCAGTTTGGCTCTGCGAGTTTAAAATTGTAATGCAGCCTATAATGCAGCTTTTCATCATTTATTTGTACCGCTTAAGAATCATACAGCTGTAAGTGTGCATACACTCATCAGTGTGGGCCTGTTCACTTTATAATGTACATGGAATGAGTAAGTAAAAATGTAGGCCTAGTATTTCTTGTACGAGTTGTCCTTGCAAAGAATATAGCCTTTAACCCAGAGACTGTTTACCCATATATGAAAAAAACGAGCGGCATTTCTTCCTTGTCTGACGGCTACACTGCGCTTTGTGCGATGGAGGTGTGAGCAGCGACAAAGACGGCAGGAGGAAACAGTGGAGTGTATGAGAGACGATTAGTGCCCAAAGTATTTTAGGAGAAGGAACGAAATCATTCTTTGGATTTCCATTGTGCTGACTTTAATAGTGGCCCCGAAGACAGGCCGTCACACATGAGCAGATTTTGTTCCTTTTTTCAAAAGACGAAATTGTCGATGTTGCGTTTTTTTTAAATGGGATTCATGTTTCGAACTAGAATTCTACATGGTTATAATGAACAAAATATTATAATAAACTCCCAGCGTCAAATCTGCAAATTGCCAAAATAACCGTCTAATTAAATAGTACAAGCAAGCTCTCTCTCTCTCTCTCACACTCACACACACAAGACAGATCCCATTTCTTTCAAGACATGGTATGCACAAACATGTTTGTTTACAACATTAAGACAACCTGCTTGGGTGCAATTTAAGACAGAGGGAAGCTTTTATTGTTGTCATGGTAAATAAAAGTCAAAAGCAGTCATCAAATGCCTTTTCTCAAACAGCCTGTGTATTTTTTTGTATCTTTTTGAGACCTTGTGCCACAGAAACAGCTTCTTCCCCTCATGAACCAGTGGTTTCTCACCAAACATATGTACATACATTCATGTTTTAATGTACCTAAATCCTAAATATCTGTTTATATTGTTGTAATTTTACTTGTACAATGTTGCACTTTTGATTCAAGAAAAAGTCAAATTTTTAGCCTCATCTCACTGACAAGAATCGCAAAGTGCACTAAGTAAAAGATACGAGGCTACGAGTTTGAGGAACGTTTTGTCATTTCCACCACGTCTGAATTATGTAGAGCCCTATTGTTATTCTCACCAAAATCCAGTTGCCTCGCCGGACTTCCCTCGCCCTGCTGGCGGCACTGTTCCCCTGTCATACCTGCGGTGAGGGATGTGACTCCATGTCTGCGCGTGAGGGAGGATGCTCAGCGCGAACCCGACCTTCCCAGACATCAGCACGAGAGAGTCCGTGCGTGTCCCCCCTCCGCTCCGGATGGTACCGGGATGTATTCTGGAAGGGGGAGTCTGGCCCCGAGGACACGCCAGCATTCCCACCGCTGAGCCCGACATAAATGACGAATAAAAAGAGCTCCTTCAAGCGAGCAAACAGCTCCGGAATGCGCGAGTCTGCGCGGCTGCACTCACTGTCTAAGCGACATTTAGCAGGTTTCGGACCTACCTAGTTTTTGCGTTTGAACTCCGTGTCGAAGAATACAGACTGTCCGTATATTTCCTTTTATTTTTAACATTTTTTCTTTATTTATTTTGCTGAAGAGGCGGGTGTTTTTTTCTTCTTCTCTTTTCTTTTGTCAAGCGTGAACAAGCCAAACTTCTAGCATGGCACTGGTCATGGAGCCCGTGAGCAAGTGGAGCTCGAGTCAAGTGGTTGACTGGATGAAAGGTAAGCCAGATAGATAACTCATACCTGACACCACCCAAGAAACGCCGTCGCGTTGCACAGTGATGCGCTGCGCGCGTACGGACGCGTTTCTGCACAGATCCGCTCGTGATGAGAAACAAAACACCTGCTGAGCCTCGAGGGCTTCGCAGCTGCTAACTGGCTCTCAATTACAGCCTCAAATGACTTGATCGATTCTCCGGCCGGTTACAACGCGGGGACGACTTGTGCTTTCGGACCAACGTGTTATCCACAGACCAACACACTCAAATCAAATAGCTCCAGACGGATTAGAACCTCTGTCGTGCCATGCAGGGTTATTGTTAACGCGGGAAAATGATAACCGCTCTCCCTGGATCTGGGGTCAGACTGTGTGTTACAGCCTTTGTGTGCGATGTATAGAGGAAGAGCTATGGTGGCTTCACATGGACGTCTGAGCCAAATGCTGCTCCTCGGATGTTGTCATGAAGAACGACTAGTTTTACCCAACACCCACGCCGCGTTATACTTATTTCATTATGTATTTTAATATAAACGTATTATTATTGTTTTATTTATTTAGGCGTGAGATCATTTTTGAATTGTAAACCTGAACACATACCGTCAAATCTGTGAAACACCCTGCAGACCGACGAGGTGCAGGTACACGTACAGATCCAGCCTGTTAATGAAGTATACTCGTATACCGGGAGAAAGAGAGAGAGATATTTCGACTAAAGTGAGCTTCAAATAAAGGCCGGAATTAAGTTGGAAAGCTGAAGGTGTAGTGGTCAAAAATCAATTCAACATTTAAAAGATTAGTTAACTGTGTTTCTCTCAGAGGAAGATTATCTGCTCAGGACCAGGACAGTATCTGGCTGCGGTTAAGTCAATAGATTTGCCGCTTTTCGTCTATTTCTGTTATTACCGTAATTACCAAATATGTTGAAGAAGTAGGTGGATGAGATGGTGAAGAGATGGTGAACTCGGTAAAAGGGATGCTCTAAAAGTCTGTCTGTTTGCCTGTCGATGCATCAATGATTTTGGTCATTTGTGTTGTTTTGCAGAGCCACATGCTCACGTGTCAGAATGCAGCATACCGAGATGCTCCACATGGAACATGCATGTTTATTGCCTTAGCACACACACACACACACACACACACACACACACACACACACACACACACACACACACTCTTCAATTCTAAGTCTGCTGCCACGGGTTCCACTGGTTCGGGCATAAAGGATCGGGCCTCTCTTAGTGTGAGTTGTGTGTTACAAATAGCTGAATTTGATGCTGCCTGTTAAACAAGGTGTTTTTGTGAGTGTGCTGGCTCACATAAAACAGCAGCACAGCTTCATTGCAGAATTATAATGACACAACGGCCATGTAGGACGTGGTCAGACTGGCAACAACAGTTCACACGAGATCTAAGATGACCTGTAAAAAAGCTTGTAGCACCCGTGAGGAATACACAGGGAGCGAGAAGCAGGGACTGGATACGAGAAAGTGCTCTTCAGTGTCCCACATCTGACAAGTGGAGCAGAGACAATTGGGTGCCCAAAGCTCAGTAATGGTAATTTAAAGTGAGGGACGGAGCGGCGCTGAGAGACACCGAGGGAGAGGAAACGGAGAGGGGAGGGCGGGGGGGAGGGTTCAGTTTTGTATCGCACCCATTCTCCACTATGGACTGGCTGTGTTTGCCGTTAGCACTCACAGGTTCCTTTCTATTAGCATAACACCCCCTGATGTCACTGGAGGCCAAATAGGGGCAGCGTGTGACCTTCCCACAAACCCCCCCATCCCTCCCCCCTCCCTCCTCCCCCCCCCAGTCCCCCGGTAGGGTTTTGTGTGAGCAAGACGCCCTCTTCCCTGCTGCGACAAAGCTTTGAAGAAAAGATTTCTCTTACAAAAGAGAAAAAAATTCCAGCTTTGACTGAAAATGTGTTTGTCAAAACAAGTGCGTGGCAGTGGGGCGAACACACACGACCATCTCAGCATTGCTTTCATGAATCGTGCGTGCATCGAGTCGGAGATTTTAAGCGGGCTTAGTATAATCTCTCGTCCCTGCACCGTGCATTATGGTGATTCATGTTTAGTGAAGTACGTCAGCTTTGTATTTGTTCTCTTTCAGTCGCTCTCGCACACAGTGACGGCCACCAGCAGTTACCAAGGAGGGGTTTTAACAACGCTAACAGCCCCTAAATATCTTTCTTGCCTCACATTACCAGCGGATTATCTGGGACGGAGATCCCGATGTGTTAGTGCTGCGCTTTTAATTTCTCCTCAGCGTGCCTCATAATCTGACCCCTACATGACACGGTCGGTGGAGATTACTTACTGCAATCAGCGAAGTGCACTCAATCGCTTACACAATGCTGCTGTCATAAAGGGCCAAGCATGAAACATTTCCGTTTGAAACTTTTAACAACAGATAGAACGTCTTTTTCTGTCTTGAGTTGTAGTACAAACCTTTTTATTTATAGACATCAAAAGAGGCCTACATAGTGCTTTACAATAACATGTGAATATGTAAAAAGAGAGTTTGTTGCTAATGAGCTCATCAGACAGCTACGTCGGCAGCTTTGTCTCACGCTAACATGCATTTTTTGGAAAGCGTCACATCGACTCTCCTCTTTGTATTTCTTTATTTGGTCCTGCGGTCAGAGAGAATCCCTGCCAAACCCCGCCTCTGTGGTTTCTATGGCAATGTGGGGAATACTTCAGCGATATAATGAGTCTCAATTAACTTTGTAAAGAGGCGGATTAGTTAAGCCTTTAAATTGTATGCAAAACCATGAAACTCCCTCAATTCCTCTCCACCGTTTAGCTGCCAGGTCAACCCGATCAGAATGCACGATCGGGTTCAGGCACAGCGCTGAGACGCACGTGTATCGGTATTGGTCCGCAGCGATGAGAACACCAGATGAGCAAAGAGTGTGTTTCTGTGTGTGTGTGTGTGTGTGTGTGTGTGTGTGTGTGTGTGTGTGTGTGTGTGTGCCTCTCTCACTGAGAAGATGGAAGTGGTGTGTATAGAAACGGCCTCACAAAGGCTACTCTTTCTGTCTCCAATCTTAAAAGGACGGCCAGTTAGTATTCAGAGCACTTTCTGGTGACACACAGTATGTGCGTCTATAAGTGAGTTGTGGCTGAAATTATTACTCAATTCATCGCTTAGGCAATTAATAGAAATGACTCAGGTATTTATTTAGCAAAAATACTGAAATCTGTTTTTCTCTCTGTCTTTTATGGTAAAATTTATATCTTTCAAGTTTTAGACTGATAGTTAAAAGAAGCAATTTGGAGACGTACTCTGAGCTGTACAAAACTACAGATATTAGGTATTCTTTTTAGCTACAGCAGCATTTATTGGGCACATGTAATCGGATATCTTTCTCTACTTTATATATATATATATATATATATATATATATATATATACATAAATTAAGAAAATAACTACTAAAGTAAGAGAAAATTAAAGAAAACTGCCCTTAAATGGATTTAATTTAGCTTGATAGTGTGTGTGCTTCATATAAAAGAGAGATAAACCGTAGATAAAATGCTACACTCAGAAACCTCTTTTTTCAAAGTAAAATGTATTCGCTGTCAGAGCAGCACACAATGTATATATATATACAACATAATTTGTCCACCCCCATCAAGAAAATGCTCTCCAATGCAATTCTACCAAAATAACCTATGTGCAGATTAGATGCAATTTATGAATATGGGTTTATTTAAGTCTGTGGTAAATCATGAGTTTGTTTTGGATTGAATTATTTCAATAAAAGTAAGTCTACCCGCTTACTGCAGTTATAAACATCTGTTGATCAAGTGCAATTCGTTGACTGAGCTGAAAGAATTAATTACTTTTAGTCTCCTGCACTTCACCGTGTGCGTTGCTGAAAGACTTCACACCTTCTGCAGCAGTAAAATATGTAACACAAGCTGAGCACAGACATGAAGCCCTTTTTTAGTTGAAAGCATTTTCTAGTTTAAAGCTGGAACGGCACCTCGGGACCGTTGAGGAGGTGGAATCTGTCAGATTTCTTTCTTGACGCAGACGGTTTCACACTAGCGCACAGGTTGTATTTTTTATGTGTTAGGTTTTACAGATCTGCAACAAAAATTCTGGCAAGAAAAGTGATATCAGCCTCGATTAGAACACGTAAGGTAAATAAATGTTTCATAACATATCCGAAAGGCCGCCAGCCAACTCCAATTTTTTCATGTTGCGGAGTTTAACAGAAAGTTTTCCTGTCATCCCTCAGGGCTGGACGACTGCCTGCAGCAGTACATCAAGACCTTCGAGAGAGAGAAAGTCGGGGGGGACAAGCTGCTGCGTATCACCCACCAGGAGCTGGAGGATTTGGGGGTGTCTAGAATCGGCCACCAGGAGCTCGTCCTCGAGGCTGTGGACTTACTTTGTGCTCTGGTGAGTCCAAGCTTCCCACGCTGTCTTCCCATTGCTCTGTACTGTCACCTCAGAGCTTCAGAGCGCTGCTGTTGGATGAAGTTTCTGTTGGGCATTTGGAGCCTCCTCAGATTATCAAATGTTTTAAAATTTGCTGGAATTATCCCAGAAATTTTTTCAAGAAAGGAAATGAGGTGGGTTTTAGTCACATGGATTACAACTTTCTCCTGAAGGGATTTCTGCTCTTAGGCTCACAGGAAACTACTCTTGACAATAATGTTGAAGAAGCTTAATATTCACACAGGTTGTGAAAGTTGCCCCATGTGTCCTGCAGCTACCTGGGTCCTGGGTTAACGTGCGACTCGGCTCAGCAGGATATCAATGATCTAAGATAAACCAATGACCCTGTGACGTCCTGTTGAGAGTCTCCTCCTCCAGTGAAAAACTCAGTTTCACTGGGTATATCTCTTATATCTTTATATTTCTTTCACAGTATTATATTGTCATTTTTGATAGAATAATGCAGAAACCACAATTAAGAAAAAAAAACAGTGATTTAATTAAATAATATATTATATTTCTCCCAGAGGCTTTACGAAAATTCTAGAGATTATTTGTCTATTAAAATACAATTCTATACAAACTTTGATTTTTTTGAATATACATTAACACTGTCTTACATTTATAGTGTTGGGGGGAGGGGTGGCTTTCATTCATCACTTACAATCATTCATTGGTATATTGTGTTATGTTTATAGTTTGGGATGTTTGTTAGTTAATTAAGGCATCTGTTCAAAATTCATACTGCATCTAATGAGGGCCTCAACTTAATTAATTATTTGGTACAATACATGTCAGAAAATAGGGAAAACTGTATGACAATATCTTAGCACTTAGGTGGTTTCCAAAATGTTGTTTCGAAATGATATAAAACTGGGAAAGGCATCAGATTGTTAAATTGGAGAACGGGGAACTAAGTAATTATTTTGTAGTATGTTTACTTCCCAGTTATCAAAGACGGTATACGATCTATATAAAGCAGGGATGAAGGAGAACAGATGGAGCAGAGATGAAGATGTGTACTTGTTAGAGACACATAGAGAGGCTGGATGGAGATTTAGTGGACTGAGGTCACAGATGCAATCTGATTCTACAGTCCTCTCATCCCGCATCGCTGCACGGGGGGCCTCGCTTCAGCCCCAAAGCTCCTTATGTAACTAGGATTTAGTTTAAAGTCTCTCAGGCCCTGCTGTATTGAATATGATTAGAGGCCCTCCTGGCGCGCTCTCCTCTCCCAAGAAGCTGTGACGTGACACCCGCAGGCCTCTGCGAGCATTAGTCGACGTGCAAAATAATGATAGTTCTGCTATCCCTTGACATGCAAGGTGACGGATGGAGAGAGGGGTGGGGGGCCAGATCGGACGGGTCGGTGCTATCATTCCTCTCAGCCTTTGTAGCATGTTGTGACACAAGGTGGGCTCCTCTTTGAGTGGTCATTTTATTCACCGAGCCATGTTGCGACAAGGCCAGTCTCCAGTCTCCCCCCCGGAGAAATCCATTTCTGTTGTGTCACAGTCTCACCGACTGACTGGTTAAACAAGGCAAATTTGCTTTGCTTTCTCTAGAATTATGGGCTAGAGACTGAGAATCTGAAGACTCTTTCTCATAAGCTGAACGCGTCTGCCAAGAACCTGCAGAACTTCATCACAGGCCGACGGCGCAGCGGCCATTATGACGGCCGAGCCACCCACAAGCTGCCCAACGACTTTCTTACGTCCGTGGTGGACCTGATCGCTGCGGCCAAAAGCCTTTTGGCCTGGCTGGATAGGTGAGATTTGCAAAAAGGTGCCTGTATAATGCATTTAATTAAGTTAAACCCACATGCAATGCTCATCAGAACATATTTACGCATAACGTTTTGCCTTTAGGTTTTTGAAGTTGACGGTAGTTTCAAATATTGCACCACTTGTTAATCTCGGATACATATTTGATGAACTTTTTTGTTTTGTTTTAGATTTTCTCTACATTTACTAAATAACTTGAAGCAGCCATAAAAATTGTTTTAAAAAGAAAGGACACATTCTCATTTTTCTGGCATCGAGCATTTGATTATATAGTATGTTTTGGGAATTCCAGTGTTTTTGCTTTTGATGTTATGTCTGTGACCAATCCCTTGACAAGAAGAGATGAGTAAAGGCCTTATATAAGTAGAATATGACAAGGTGGAAAAAAAGACACTGAGCGAGTCTATTTATATGTTGCTCTGTCCCTCTGCTTCTTTCTGGGATTGTGCCAGAGTGTGTGTGTGTGTGTGTGTGTGCACGTGTGTGTGTGTGTGTGTTTTGTGTTTGTTTGTCTGATGAATTTGGAAGTTCAAAGCATGCAACCAAAATAACAAAGTGAATTGTCGTTTATTTTCCATTTAGAACAGTCCTAATCCACATCATCAATTCTAGTATGAATTCAATATACAACGTTTCATTTTCATCTTTGAATCCGTCGTTGTTGACAACATTACCGTTTGGGGTGTAATGACTCTGGAGTCGTGTTCAATGTTTTCTGGAGTATAGAGAAGAAAGTAGTAGAGTAGTGATATTTAGGCTGCGTACAGTATTTGTCACAATGATAAATTTGACCAATGACTTATTCTCAACGAAAGAATGATCTAATGGTTCATTCCAGGTGCTCCTTTTTTTTCAGGTCCCCATTTGCTGCAGTGGCAGATTACTCCGTGACACGAAACAACGTGATCCAGCTGTGTCTTGAGCTCACTACAATTGTGCAACAGGTACACAAATCATGTGATTAAAGTTAGTTTTAATCCCGAATGAATTTCTAGATCAAAATATCACCAATAAACGAGAGTTAACCCATTTCTTAAGTATTACGGCGATGCAAAAATCCATTATACTTGGTCTCAAACTTAAAACGTGCATATATATGCTATGCTTTTCACAATACACTAAAGGACTAAACTACAGCAGATGAAGGTGAAGTAGTTGAAGTACAACAACGTTTGGCAACTGTTTCAGGTCAACTTATCACTGATTTCGGACTTATAATTTCATTCTGTTTATGCACAAATGTAGTTTTGTAAATGAATGTTGGAGCTTATATGAACAGATATACATAATACTTACTTGTGTTCATCATGCGTGAGCGTTGTCTCACAGATACAGATGAAGTGCAGGTTCAGATATTGTTTTTAACTAAAGACACTGCAAATGGGGTGGGAAAAGTGGGAAGCGTATCGCACATTTGATTTGGATATCTGGATATATGTTCATGATGACAAAAGCAACCTGCCCTGTACAACCCTGGAACATCAGTATAAAATGAGAGAAGCAATGCTTAATAGGTTTTAGGACTGTCTCTTAGGAGAATGATGTTTATAGAAAAATGCAAGTGGGAAAATTTGAAGGTGGGAGTGAAAAATGGCGACGGGGAGAGAGTTGACTGCCGAGCGAGGAAGACTGGCTTAGATGGAGAGAGAGAGAGAGAGAGAGAGAGAGAGAGACATGCCTCCACACTGGTGATTCATTTGTTTTGTGTTTGTGCATGCCTGTGTGGGAGTGTTGGGGGTTATAGGTGCCAAGCTGCTCGGTTTTGCGGTATATCCACCTACAGCAGAAAGACCAATAATAACTTCATTTTGACACATTCTCTTGGGGTAACAGTGCTCTCTGAATGTTCCCCAGGACTGCTCTGTGTACGAAACAGAAAACAAAATCCTGCATGTGGGGAGTTGATGACTTCTTCACACTGGATTGAATGTAATGAGGCCATAGTGAACCTACTTTAAGGTAGCACTCATTCCTAATATGTCCTCCCCAGTGTAAAACTCTGTCTGAAGTGTGCGACCACATTATCTCCCTGTCCTCGGATCCCATGGAGACCCGGGCTGCACATTTGGAGGATGTGCCGCTGGCCGACATATGGTCCACTGAAGGACTGGTGAGTCCATATCTTCTCTTTCAGACTTAAAAAATCGCACTCCTCTTTTGACGGTTTCTCATCCCACTCAGTAGTCATTACGGAACTACGCACCTTGATGACGTACTAATTACCAAAAGGAGCTATTTGCCTACAATATTTTTAGGATAGTAAATGCAACAGCTGTGCAATTACTCAATAATTAGGATTAATAAATAGGTTTGGCTCCAGACTATATTGAAAATAATTGTAAATGTGTGATAGATATCTTGTATGTAACTACTGGGTTATGGCATGAGCCGTTAATGTAATAGCTAGTAGTTATAGAGTAATTTATAGTTTGAACTAAAATTGTACTGTTTATTCTTTTCATTTTAGTCTCTTTATCCCTAATGACCTGTTAATTGTAGTGGGCGCTTTTTTGTATGAAATAGACCAATGATTTCCGCATAAAAAATTAAGAAACAGTTTCATTTCAGTGTTCCTTTACATGGCTTGTAAAATGTAGCTTGTCTTTATGAAACAACGTACGACTATTAAGAAAATGTCATTGCATTTCATCTCTTAAGGCCTTGCATGATGCATGTGACTTAACAACCTATCAATTAAAAGGTTAGCTGTAAAGAATTTACTTAATGGTATCACACTGCACAGACTCTCTTTCATTGTAAACACTTCAAAATGTAATAAGCCTATAAGTCCAAAACCCCAAACTCCACACCTGAAGATGGTTTAATATAATGTATTGTGTAATTTTGTGAAATCACAACAGCATGATATCTGACCGCCCTTTAACGTATGTTTGATCCAAAAAAGGTATATGCAAATCTTCTTGCAGCCTTTGTCTAATGCAACATTTTCTATTACTTCAGTTGCTCAACCACTAACCTCGCCTGATTGGTTCCTTCCAGTTATATCACTGTTTTTTAACTCTTTCCTCTGTAGGTATTTTGGGACCATTAAGGGACCAAGTACATAGATTATTTATTTAAAGAGTTGGTTGACCCAAATTACAAATATTTACCTCCAGAGTCCTGCCAATTGTTTGTGTTTTATTGACCTTATTTTAATATATCCAAAACATCTACATAAATAAGAAGTCCTAATCCCAATGCATTGTAGGTGGATTTCCTTTGTGATGTTTACAGAGTAAAAAAGATGAAGTAAAGTAACGATAGTAATCGGTACATTGTTCAATAAGACAAGAGGCTGTTGAATGTTTAAGTTGTCGCTTTATACATGTACATACACACATCATTTCACATCTCCAAATATAATAATGAATGATGAAATGATGCAATCCGGCATCTTATTGGGCTCGTAGCTGTCCAAAAACTGGGTTTTGCAGAGCTTGTGGGCACATGAGTCAGTTTATAAAACTAAGCATGAAAATATCACATTGTCCATGTTGAAATGAACAAAATTCAAAATGCTTAACTTGCAGATATGAAACAAATGTTTGTCCATGCACTTGCTCTATCTTGGGAATAAACTATAGGTAAAACTACTGTGTAAAGTAGCAGAAAGAGACACTTATTTTATTGCCACTGTAAAATATTCCCCACTTGGTCAGACTCATTTCGCTCTGACCTACACTCAGGCACGAGCGCACTGCTCGGGGCCACAATAAAAGCCCCACCCCCCACACAAATGCTTGCAAGTTCTTTCATCCGTTCAGTAGAATCTGAACACAACAGTGGTCCAAGTGGCCTAAAAATAAACCTCTTACACTCATCTTTAAGACTGGAAGGCTGCTTCTGTGTATATGTGTGTAAGTGCACATATGTACTCATGCACATCTGTGCAAATGTGTGTTGGGGTCGTGCGTTTGTGTGCATGTTCATTTGTAAGGCCCTTTAGACCCCTTTTTAGGGAAAAGTTTGAGTTTTAACTTTACAACAAGAAACAAAAGATTTGCAGTAATTTGAGGCCCCTGGTCTGTGTGGCAAATAGATGTGTGGCTGTGTCAAGATGCTGTTAAAAGAGCTGAGCTTCATGTTAACGTTTTCCCTTGATGTAACATTCCTGCTATCGCTCCACAGGGCATGTATATCAAATCAACGTATGATGGTCTGCATGTAATCACCGGCACAACAGAAGGAGTAAGTACACGCCTCTTTGTGTTTACACCTTTACGCTGCTCTTTGGCCCGTATAGAGTGAGCCGTGTCTCCTAAATCACACTACGCCCTGCCATGAAAGTGAAATGGAGCAGCAGTTACTGACTCTGCGTCTCTCTCTATCCATCAGTCTCTGGCTGACCGCTGCAAGAAAATCCATGCTGGAGATGAAGTCATTCAGGTCAATCATCAGACTGTGGTAAGACAACGTTTCTCACATTTGTGATTATTTTTGTGTGCGTTTTTCATGTGTTCAGTACATGCAGTAAATGTGTATGTGGCTCATGTATACACATCCATATCTCTGTCACAGTGCATTCTCACTGCTGGAACTGTTCTTGTATAAGTGGCTGGTGGTTCTCATGCAGGTTGTTTTTGAGGACCTGGATATTTCACTTGGATGGTCAGTTGAAATTGTTGAGCTCATGCTCTTAAAAGCCCTTCAGTCAATCAGGAGGTTCCTGCTCGTGGCCCTTAACAGACTCTTAACACCATTTTCACTATGGTTTCCGTGTCAGGGAGGTCTCGAGGTGAAGACTCTTACGCAGAGATAAGGTTCAGTAAAGGTTTTTATTGTTCAACAAAAAACACAGGGACGACCCTGGAAACGTAAAACTTCTCCTAAGAGAGAAAAATGGAAAATGCTCCAGCAAAACTGAGCGAGCGGATTAAGAACCAAAAGACAAAGCCAAACTCTCGCTTATCGAAGAAATTACAAAAGCTATTCTATGGAAGGCACTTTTAACAAACATGAGGAGCTGTAGAACAAGAGCATAAACTGTGACCTGGGCATGAATCCTTCCTGGGGCGGGTGTGCACGGCAAAAGGACATAACACAGTGGGGCTGTTAAAATGAATGCCTGAACCAGCTTAAACATTGCTCATCCATTTACTTCAGTGTGGCCCATAGTTAAGAACAAAGCCTCAATGGTTGATTGTTCATGAACATCCCAATAGGGGAGGCAATGGGCACGCTGAAACCGAACTGCAGAGATGTGTCCGTAGTGGGAGGATTTCTTGCACCATCGCTTTACACAACAACCTCAGAAATAACAGGAGAAGGTCTTAACAGGAAAGCAAGAGAAAAGAGACAGTATAACCAATACCAAGTAAAAAGAACTATGAAGAGAAGAGGCGCTTGAAATAGTGCAGGGATCTATAATTAAAGCAGCTGGGAGAAATATTCAGCAGAAAGACAGCAGAAGGAGTCACACCAACCAAAACTAAGTAATGAGGGGAAAATCTTTGAATTTGAAACTATGGAAGTGAAACACATCTAGAATAGGCTTAAGAAATGACAAATGATTTGCTGCTCTTGAGCACAAGACTGGAAGGCTGTAAAAAATGTAATGACAGTATGTCTGACATAAATTACTCCAGGCAGCAAGAATAGATTGAATTTCTGGTGCAGGTCAATAAATGGGGAAGGCTTCAGACACATAAAAATGGACAGTAAATTTGAACACAGAAGAGTGTTACAGGAATCCCCCCAAAAATATGAAACAGGGTCTATGAGAAGCCTCTTACAGAAGAATATTTCTATACCATGGCAAAGCAGTAGATAGATGGAGAAAAATGGACATCTTCTGGGCCATTAAAACATTCTTCTTATCATATAATCGGGCAGGCTATGTAGTATACGAGAGTCTGTTCTAGTTTATCTCTTTAATATACTTTCTGTGTGAAGGATATCTGTGTAGTGGTGGTCAAGATGAAAAATGAGTGGGAAAGAAACAGAGTGATTGCCAAGTCAGTGCCTGGTTTCTCAGGCTGCTCGGAAAACACAAGATGTACAGAAACTCAGCGCAGTCAGCCAAGCAAGAGAGGATATTTCCTCCTCAAACCGGAGCTGGCATATTTAGTTCAGCAGCGATCTGTGCTTCTCTGGGTGGGATGTTCTGTGTGCCAAATGTCATCAAGACCTGGTTAAAGACTATTTAAAGGGCTTGTAGCTGTTTATAACCAGTGCGTCATGACAGCGCCAGCGGACTGATGCAGATGCACAGGATGCCCTCTGGCATCCAACTTTGCATTTGACGTCCTCGTCAAAATGCATCTCAGAGGCTGTGCCGCTGCTGCCGATCATCAGGACGCCATGTGTACTCTCAAATAACGACCGCAAAGGCACAGAAGTGGGTTAGACGACTCGAAATCACGCGGGAAAGAAAGCTATATGCGTAAAGAATAACACCTGCACTGACTGGACGTTCATGTTAAAATATCCGCTTGTTTTTACTGTAGCTTTGAGGGCATGCCTTCTGAGTTTTAGGAAACCCTCATAGTCTTGTTGCTTGCTAGGTGGGCTGGCAGCTGAAGAACTTGGTGAACTTGCTGCGTGGGGACCCTGCAGGTGTCACCCTGACGCTGAAGAAACGGCCACAGAGCACGCTCACATCAACCCCTGCACTGCTCAAGAATATGAGATGGAAACCCTTGGCTCTGCAAGTATGACGGCTGATTTCATACTCTGCAGATTGTTCGTCTGTACATATGTATTTGTATGTATATATCTGTGTGTGTTCGTTAAGGTTAAGACAGCACGCATAGACCGGGAAGGGATTAAATTAGTGCTTTTACAGATTATAGTGCAATATATCTTTTTCAGAGGTGGTTTCCATGCAGTTTGCAAATGTATTACACGGCTAAATTCTTTCCGCATCCCCCTCCATTATCTACCACAATTTGCAAACAATTAGTTGGAAGTTCTAGCGTCCTTTTGTTCACAAGTTGACATTTCAGACCTCGGTGGCATCTGTTGTCCTACTTCAGCCAAACCAACCCCATTTTTAGGGCCGTGCGCCTGAGCCAGAATAAGTGGAAGTGAGCGGGATGTGTATTAATGTAGCCCAGCCTTTCTTTGAGTCCCAGGCCAGAGAAAATGTGTTCTTCCAACTGTGGCCCTAAAGCGCGGTCCTGCTCAGCCTTCTCCCCCTTCACATCCTCATTCTTCTTTTTTCTCCACCTAAATCAAATTCGCTCTCCTGCTGGTATTTTTAAGGATTGAAAAAACTGACCTAGAAACAAATTTTGTGACTAAAAAGAACAATGAATCTGGAATTAACAATAAAGTCAGTCTGTTCCCGCGGACGCCTTCCAGTAGCACTGACACTCATCATAACAGTGTTATGATGGAGCACATCGCTGGTGTTTTTCAGCTGTTACGCAACATATTGGCATAGTTTGAGCGGTGACAAGTTAGTCATTTAACATTCATTTCACTCGTTTAACAAGCTGGTTAATACGTGTATTTTAGAAGTCTGTGTTTTATCCTTGCAAAAAAGGGCTTCTTGTCATTTGATTACTTTTATCTGACTAGTCAATTTATATTGATGAGAACAATTTGATTTAGCGAAAATCAGTTCGATATTTTGTGAATATACAAGGAGCATTCTATCTCCATGTTTCCTGTTTAGCAGACAATAGGCTACAACTAAGTTTTCCTTGACCTGAATAAGAGGGACAGCTAGACTGCACACCGACCCGTTGTCTTGTGTGCACTAGTAGCCTGCTCACTCCACGGGGTGAGATGCTCAGCACCACAGCCTACACCGAACAAATGGTCCCCGACTGACTAACCGACTGCACTGCTGTCAACCGCAAATGTTCTCTGTGCCAATCCCTGTAACTGTCCCTCTCTCGCGCTGTCTTCCTGTCTCTCTCTCGCGCTCTGTTTTCTCTCACACACACACACACACACACACACACACACACACACACACACACACACGTTCACTCACACACAGCCAATCTTCCCTCAGAGCCCGAGCAGCAGTGTCGCCACACCCACCAGCACTTTAAGCACTCCGTCCAGGAGGAGCAGTTGTGCTCTGCAGGACCTCTACATCCCCCCTCCTCCAGCAGAGCCCTACACCCCCAGGTGAACGCACACATAAAACACACAGCTCACCAGTAGCGCGTCTTTCATTGAATGAAGAATTGCTATGGAGTTTTTGACAACTAGTGGCGCTGTGGAGCAATGATGATAAAATTGGGACCCTGTGTAAATTGACACTGTGAGCATGTTAGCATCCTGAGAACCGTTTTTTGGTAGACTACTAATGCTGTAAAGAGCCACAGACAGGCAGGAGACGTGAGAAAGTATTGAGGCATTAACACATCGCTTTTCACAGAATATTACATTCTGACGGCGGCAATGTTTTTCTTCACTAATATTAATCTTTAAGCTTTCCGTTACCACAGAGATGACAAGAGCAATCTTTCGGGTGATGATCCTCAATCGGATGCTCAGGTCGCAGAGGGATCTGAGTCACCGAACTCCTACCTGGACCAGGAGTGTCGGCGGCAATTTCCTCTGGTGGAGGAAGATGCTATACTGTACTGTTATGAGTACGACCAGAACCAAGAGGTGTCATCAGTCCGCAGAGGGAGCACTCCCACCTATGGTAAGACTAATCTAATGCTGTAATCGTGAGAGCCGACGGCGAAGAGCCCCGCAAATGTGACGTCTGTATTCTTTCTTTGAGACGTCTGCAGCCGGTTGGATGTGTGTGTGTGGGCAGTTGTGTAACATTGACGCTGCCTGCGCCTCCTTGCTCCAGGCAGGCTTAGGCCCATCTCAATGCCAGTGGAGTACAACTGGGTGGGAGACAACGAAGACCTGGCCAAGCTGAAGAGAGAGAGCAGGAGAGGTGAGTGGGAGGCAGTGGGAGAGAGAAAAAGAAAGGGGGACAGGGAGCGAGAGGAGGGAGACAGAAAGCGACAGAGCAAGCAGGGGGGGGGGAGTGGGCGGATATCTCTTAAAATCCTCACCATCCCAGATCTCATGGCCAGAAAGTAGAAGGATGAGCTGGCCCGTCAAAAAAACGATAACGTGCTGGATATCCGATATGCCGCGATCTCCTCCATGTGTTCACAATCTGTCACTGTTCCTTTTTCCTGTCATCCCTCTCTTTCCCGCTCTCAGCCTTTTCCATTTCTCTTTGTTCGGATATATAAAGTACACCGTTGCTTTGGCAACTGTATAATAAATCCTGGAATTTTCACATTTCGTTGTTGACTGTCGAGCTGGGTGGTAAAGGGAGTGGGAGGAGACAGAATTGTTTTATTTCAGTCCCAAAGAAGGACTCGAGCTGTGTGTTTGTTTCCTCCAGGGACGTTGTCAATTCAGTATGTTGCTCGTTTGGGATTTTCAAAAGAAGTGATGCTATATTTATCTACAAGAGATAGTATTTGAAAGGTTTGCTGCCTGACAACAGCCTTCCTCTTTTAGGAGTCCTTTGAAAAGTCAGGATTCACTGATCTCAAAGAGAGCAATCTAGATGACAAGCAACCCGTAGAGCCCGAAAAGTTCAATGAAATTACCGACAAACCAGCTTACTAAAATGGTGCAGCGTCTTCTCAATTATACACATTTAGTTGAACTGTACAGCCATTTGGTATATAAATTAGCCTAAATTGTGTGCGGCACTGAGATTGCGGCTGTTGTGTCCTTGCAGAGAATTCCCTGCTGCGTTTTGCGAGTGAGGATAAATCCCCGGGGGAGGACTTCCTGCTGGGACGCAGCCTGAGTCAGAACAGGAGGAAGAGTGAGCGGCGAGCCAGCCCCACCCATTACACGCTCGTCCCCGCCCTCCAGATGGAAGTCTCCCTGTCCACGTCCAGCTCTGACTCTGCCTCCCTCTACCATGTCAGTCCCTCGTGTTCTTATTAGTCATAAGCGAGTGTGGAAGTAGGGGGCTTTTGGCAATCGTGCGATCTGCGTGTCAACGTTCCTGTTTCCTTTGCAGGTATTTGAGCGATCCTCACTGATGTCGAGGTCAAAGAAGAAGAGTAAAGGTAGGAGCAATTGTTGGTACTCAAACCTAAACATAAGCAAGAGTGTTTTCTGACCCCCCCATTCGTTTGTGCTGCTGCACCTGCAGCTGGAAGTCCCATGTCTTCAATTAGCAAGCGTCGGATCTCCTGCAGAGACTTGGGTCAGGGCGACTGCGAGGGCTGGCTGTGGAAAAAGAAAGATGCTAAAACCTATTTCTCACAGAAGTGGAAGAAGTACTGGTTTATCCTGAAAGACACATGCTTGTACTGGTACATGAACGAGGAGGTGAATATGATGCATTTCACAAACGAGATATTCACTGAATTTAGCTCCTATTAACTCTGTTTGCTGCACACAGGATGAGAAGGCGGAGGGCTTTGTCAGCCTCCCGGAGTTTAAGATTGATCGCGCCACTGAATGCAGACGGAAGTAGTGAGTACTGAGTACTTGTTTCCCCCAGACACCACAGATCAAGCATTTTAGGTTTTAGTTGTTTATACATTTAGCTTCAAAATTGAGCAAATTACAGTACATATACGCATTGAATTGAGCTCACAAAGCTGGCAGCAGAGAGGCTTCATCCTAAAAAAAGTATCGCTGCGGATCTTTTGCAAATGCCACTTGGCAGGAAAAACATTGGCATACGCATTGAATAATCTAGCGAATTAACCAACTAGAACGGACAATTTTCAGAGGACGCCTGACTCACAAAAACTCTTCACTTTAGTGTGCACACATTTATGGTTTTATTATGATGTTGTTGTTTGATATTCATTATATGCAGCTTTTTATCATTGATAATTTAACTGAATCCAATACAACAATGTCTTATTTTTAGTTTGTTAGGTGGTTGTAACATTAAGGAAGGAGTGAGACACAGATTTAAACATTTACTTTGATGACCTCCAGCTAATCGAGATTGTGAATAAAAATAACCTCATGACAGAGAATCTCTAAATTTGAAGATATAGAAATATACCTTTGTATATCTACCTTAATCATGCAACTAAGCTTCTGGATTGTTTTACGTGCTAATAACAGTCTCTGACTTACAAACAACTCACAAAAATAAGCAGAGCCGTTTATCTAATGGAGCAAAGTCTTGTTTTTGTGTCATCCTGAAATACTGTTTGTGTGTGTGTGTGACCGCGTTTACCTCAGCCGTCTTTTGCATTCATATGTTAATTCTCGCTATACGTCCCCGTTCTTGTGCTTACATATGATTCAAAATACCCTTGGTTTCCTTTCAGTGCTTTCAAGGCTTGCCATCCGAAGATAAAGACCTTCTACTTTGCAGCGGAAAATGTAGACGACATGTCGCGGTGAGTTAATGAGGCTGTGATAGTCATGCTGTAAACTCCCCGATCTGCAACCGTATTTATATCCCTGCCGGCCGGATATTGAATCCCCCGACCCCCCACTCTCCTTGAACAGAGCCGTTTTATAAGGGGGGGGGTGATCAAACAGGGAGACACATACCTTCGTTATTTCCCCCCTCAGGTGGCTGAGTCGTCTCAGTATGGCAGTGGCAGGCTACTCTGAGCAGGAGAAAATTCAACCGGACCAAGGTGAGATTAGTCACAGGCTGTTCGCTGTGATTCTCCGGCTGTCACAGATGGCTGGTCGACACTCACACGAAGCGTTCTCATTTAGGAATCATGTTTAATAAGTAATGTTTTTTTATTTTATTTTATTACTTACCACAAGTTCACAGCAGTCAATCATCAGAATGTATCTTCTTTTGAGCCCCATCTTATACATGCTGAACACAAGAATTAAATAATGATTATTATCTTGCATAATTGCCAGTGTTTCACTTTTTGACTTTACATCCCATTCAAGCATCTCTGCTTTGTGCTGAATATGAATGCAAATTTCCGCGGCTGAAGGCGTTCTTGTTATTTTCATATTCGCTTGTTATTTGGATTTTCCACATATGGACAGGAAACGATTCAACCAACCTTTGTGCTATTCAGAGGAGCCTACGTAGAAACCTTACCGAGGTGGGCGGATGAGATCGGGCTTGTCGTTGGTTTTATAAAGAGGGGGCTTCTTCCTTCCCAGACAAGTGCCCAAATTAGACGCTCCACGCCTCCACAGGATTTAACAGGAAGTGCTCCTGATTCATCCGTCTCCATATTCAGCCTCAACGGTTGAACCCGAACACCTACGCCGCAGCTTTACCTGTCAGAAGACTCGCTGATGGGCCGTGACCTTACGCAGCAGTTTATAAAGCTGGGATATATTGTAGATTCTGTAAATATAATTTGCTTTGACTATATACATATACTATATATACCATAAACATTTATAAATCGCTTTGTTTTGATTCTGCAATAGCGATTTAAAAAATAATTTTAAAAAATAACATGGGACAATCTCTGTTTGTGACAGATTACTGGAGTGAGAGTGATCATGAAGACATGGAGATGCCCCCCATGACCAAACAGGACAGTCCGCCACCACCCTATGACACCTACCCGAGGGCATCCTCAGTGAGTCCGGTAGCCTGGGGTTAGGAAGATGGGGCAAAATTTTCTTTTTTTAGTTGCTAACAGCCTGTGTTTTTTTAGGTGAGTCCCTACCTGCAACCTAAACGAGGCCACCTCTCCTCCTCCGACACGTTCCAGTCGCGGTCCTCTCATGACGACTTTCACTCTAAGCCTCAGGACGGCAGCAGCAACAACGGCATCTCCCCCGGGCAGAAGACCAGCGGCCACCGAAACTCATGGCATGACCAGATGGAAAACAACACGAGGATGCACTACCTCCAGACGCTTCCGGCGGAGGACAACCTGCTATCTGAGGACAGAGACCAACTGACGATGGAGTACCGCAGACAGTCCACCCTGCCGGCGCAGCGCAGCCAGCTGCTAGAGCAGTACAGAGCCCTGCCTCTGCCTCTCAGGTCCAGCATCGATTCGGATGCAGGCGGGAAGCCCCGCAGCTTCACGCTACCCAGGGACAGCGGGCTGCATGCTATCTTGGCCGCCAGCGCCGCTGCATCGGATCAGAGGGAGCCCCATCACTACCAGCTGGACCGGGCCAGAGGCAGCGGTCAGACACACAGCATGTCTGTTTTTTCATGGACTGCAAGCATAGACCTTCAAGATTATGATAAACTTTATGAATATAATACATTACTTCAAACTAGAATTGAAACTTGAATTCAGTTGAATGACCAGTTGTTGATCCATTAGATATTTTTCAACAGGATACATTGATCATTTGAAAATAGAAATAACCAGCAGAGAAATAGAAAAGCACTGACGAGTCGCGACCATTAAACACTCATTTTAGTATTGATTGATCGCTTTACTCCTGCAGATGCCTCAGGATACTTGGGAAGAATGTGGATTAGCTCAGCTAACCAGAAATATATAACATGGAACCACATACTTGTGTTTAGGAGGGAATTAGTACACAAATAGGATTATATATTTATTATAAAACAACTTTACTGGACATGGCTGGCTTCCCACCGCCAAGCTGTTTTCTAGCTCCTTAACACCACATGTTGTGAAAACGAGTGAGCTGCAAGTGAGCATAGAAGTCGAAGCAAGAAAAGAAATGTTCAGCTGTTGCCACTGGAGGTGGTATTTACATGAATACAAACTAGACTGAACATTCTCAACAAGGACAATTTCCAGATCTCTATGTCTTAAATAGATAACAACATGGATTTTGAATTTAAAAACACTGTTGGATAACAGCCTATAACAAGTAAAATCGGTACTTGTTGCAGGATTTTGTCTGTCTATGAAAGTATACAAGAGCCGATCTGACAGAGCAGTGGGGATATCTCTCACAGATAAGAGTGGGAACTACGGCAGTAGACAAATAGAGGAGACCAAGGTGTCACACACAACAATATAACCCACCCTGAAATCTCTCACTCACTGTTACATGCACAATCAAACTGAGACAAACACGCTCTTTTGTCATCACTTATTTCATTAAAGCTGCTAACAAGCAGTCAGAGCCAGCAGATATCAGAGGTTTAATGGTCGCTATTATTGCTTTATTGGATTGAATTTGAAGCCAGCCCGTTTGTCGTCCCTCAAAGACCCTCAGGGCACTTGTTTAATTGAGATGAATTTCTAACATCTTATTTGATAGTGATTTATCTTGGCAGTTCACTCCTCTCTCACACACACTCTCTCTCCTTCTCTCTTGCTCGATCGGGATGTCATTGTACCTCTCGGCGATGTTTGAATGGTGAAGCGAGGAGGAATCCTTTCAGCCCATGTTAATGTTCTGAACAGCATAAAGAAACACGCCGAAGGGTCCTTCTTTTTGTCCTCATTTATCTATTGCTCTTCACGTTGCCTCCCTCCACCACTGCTTGTAAAGACGAAGAACCACAAAACAAGTGGAAACGCACAAGCCTGTTTCCTAAACAGAAAATACAGCGACGACTACCTGATTCAGCGCACTTTAATAGTGTTACAACCATGCCAGCAGAGGGCAGTGTATGTAAACAGGAGGCCGGAGGAGCCCACGTTACCAGAGTGACGCACAAGCTGTGCACTTTACGCATAATGAAGAGATGTACCAAAGATAAATGATATAGAAGAAAATGTATATAGAAATATATATATACACAATCAAACGCACACAAACACATACATACATATATATGTGTATGCATATATTACCCAAAAATATATATATACATATTTGCTGGTTGGAAAAAAATATTCGAACTGAAGGTTTCACTTTGGTTCTTGGTAATTTTGACGGTATTTCACACATCTTTCCTTTAATCAAGGAAAATCTGAATTGCCGTTAGTTCCAGCCCTTTTAAAAAACGGTTAGATTAACTGCACCTCAAATAATTACAAAAGTGAAATGCTGCTCACTCATTCAACTATACGTGTTGATCATTTAATGATTTAACATTTGCTGTATTTTGGATTCCCTTCACGAGCCTCTTGTTTGCTACCTGCCCTGCAGAAAGCAGGGCAGGTAGCAAAGCCAGCCAGCACTTGTGTGGATGTGTGGGCAGAGAAGCTGCATCTACAATGTCCTCTAATCTGGACTGACACAATGATATATTATACATGCATGATGAGATGAACAGTGAAGAGTCTTTTGATTTGACTCCATATCAAACACGATGGTAAATGCTGCGGTGTGATCAGGAATATTCCTTCCTGCAGTCTAGACACTGGCGTTTGTGGTGGTCTCAGGAGAGGCAATGAATGTGATGGAGACGTGAGGTGAATGGGTTGGAAGAGGGTTGCATCGCTTCACTTTCAAATTATGACGGCAGCGATGTGATCGGCTGAAGGCGATTGTGACAAGAATTTGCTGGGTGAACTTCAGAGTAAAACCCCATAATCAGCTCCTGGAGTAGTGTCACGGTGTGGTTCACTTCCTGTTGTATTTTGTAGTTTTCTGCCACTCGTGTCCCCGGGTAACTTCACTTCCTGCCTTGTCCCGTCATCCCCTGTGATCGTCTAATAGTTTCCACCTGTGTCCAATCACCTGCACCTCCCTTGTGTATTTAAGCCGTGTGTCTCTTGTGTCACTTTTCGCGTCATTGTCTTTTGCCACGCATGCACTTGTCTTTTGTCGCGGACGTTCGTAGTTTCTGTCTCCCGTTTTTCCCCTGGTTCCTGTGAGTTTTTGCCCCTTGGCCTTTTGCTTTAACCTTTTGACAATTAAAGTCCATTTTGTTTTGAACTCTGCGTCTGAGTCCTACCTCCCCGCAATCCCCTGACAGAATGACGCGAAAAGTGACACAAGAGACACACGGCTTAAATACACAAGGGAGGTGCAGGTGATTGGACACAGGTGGAAACTATTAGACGATCACAGGGGATGACGGGACAAGGCAGGAAGTGAAGTTACCCGGGGACACGAGTGGCAGAAAACTACAAAATACAACAGGAAGTGAACCACACCGTGACAAGTAGAAGCCAAAGAAAGAGAAAGAAATTATTTAATTAATGAGTGTAAAGAGTCTTCCTGACTGAACTTCTGCTAATTTCCACATAGTGGCGCGGTACCAGATCCACTGCTGAGCTTATTTTCTTAAGGGTTATAACTCTGAAATGTTCTTTTGTTTCAAAAAGGAGATCATTCTGAAGAATTCTCTGTTTGGGGATTAACTTCTAATTCCCTGCAGATATCATAAATAAATCTAACTCTGATCCTTTGACAATGTAAAATCTTTGTTGATTGATGATTGCGTCTCCTTCTTGGCAGGCCAGGGACGGGACTGCAGGATGCAGGCTGACTCTCTGGGAGACTTGTATAGGGCTCTGGAGCAGAGCAGCCTGTCCACATCGTCTGACCACAGATCAGCCAACCGCCTGGAGTACAAACGCTCATTTGTCCGCCGGGTAAATGACCCACTGCTCGATGACAAGCTTCATCGCCTGCGGATCCTCCACAGCTCCCTTAAGGTAAACAATTGTTCAGCATTTGTGTCTCTCCATACATGTTTGCTTTATTTCTAAGAGATACTTTCACCTTATTACAGAATGTCCCTCTTCACGACACCAACCGGTCCCTGGGTTTTTTAGGGTAAACTGAGGAGCAGTGTGTTAATAGAACCTCAAACCAATCGCCTCAGCCTGTGCCTCACACTGCTGGCATCCCTTTGCTGGAGCTAAAAGGCACCAAAAACCTTCCTTTACCTGCTTGGCTCCGCATCTCCTCTGCTTTTACGGCTCCTTCAACCTCGCTCAGCGTGCAGGAGCACAAACACTTGGTGTCCCTCTCCGATCTCAAAGATGAGGGCTCTTACTAAAGGCAAAAAAAAGGTGTCTGGCTAGATAGAGCAACAGGTTTCATGACTGGAATATAAGCACTTTGTGTATGTGTCAAAGACGCGTCGGAGAGCTTTGCGATCCATCGCTTGCATGCATGGCCGCCTCCCCTCGCTTCTGTTGATCCGTTTTGAACTTTATGCTGGAGTTGTGTACAGCCGCTGTGTATCGTCTGACGGCAAAGCTATTTTGGATGTACACAACATTTTCTTATGCATGTGTGTATGATTTAAGGGTATGTTTGTTCTATGACTGTACAGGGTGTTAAGCATATATACATATTTAATATTACATTACTGCAACAACAGTGACTACACAATGTTTTGGGGTACTTAAACAAATTGTAAATCAAGTGCTGTGCCTCAGTGATTGTGAATGTACATTGTACTTTTTCAAAGGAGACGAGCAAAGTTGTAGAAAGCAAGCTATTCCTCAAAACAGGAGCACAAATAAATGCTTGGCAATAATGAACTAGTATTGTACATTACAAAGGAATGGTCAGAACATTTGTCTATTTTTGTATGCATGCCGTCTACCTAATTGTTTGTAAAACAGTTTTGTATTTCTGTATTTTTTCGGCCAGGAGAATACTGGTGTTTCCCTCCACCCCGTTGTGTTTTTGAGACTTGAAAAGAAGAAGGATTTTTTTGTTAAGAGGAATAACTGTATTTATTAAGTGTTTAATGTACAAGCATGCTTTGTATAACTAAAATACAGTACCATGCTGTTGGCAATTGACTAACATTGCACAAGTGTGCCATATTGTAGCTACATTACTTTTTTATTGAATAAAGTATGGCAAAGGCACACTGAAGAAAGAAGCATTGTTATGTTTTGTCTCGTCTCATAATCACATTTAGATGACTCTTTTTAGACAAAGATTGACTCAAAGCATGTAGGATATGATGAATGAGGATTTAAAAAGAATAACACAGAAGAGGATCAACAAAAGAAACAAAACTATGCAGAACATGTTTAGGCCTGCAAATACCTGACCATCACAGGATGTTAATTAATCGTTTTTTTTCTAGAATACTGCTCAAAAAGTCCAAACAAGCTGAAATCATCATTCATAGTCAATCTCGATTCCTTTTCTCACTCAACGTCACTACTTTACCTTTGTGCTCAAATCTAAATAGACTTTTTATAGTACAAAAGTAACCACAATGGTAAAGAGGATGGACCTGATTGGTCAGGTCAGTGAGGGATTTCAGATTCGCCCTTCAGATGAAGCCAGGGGAGAGAGTCATAAAATGCCTTAAAGCAAAAATAATTAATGGGGATAACGTGGGAGAACCTGCATTTGAATGTATGAATCTTTGAATATATGTTAAAATGTTGTGTTGTGTGCAATTAAAAACATTTATGTTTGAAGTACCAAAAGTAAATCATACACCGCTAATTAAAATAGCACAAATGCCTGAAGAATGTATTTTTTCAGCAGGGATGATGTAATCTGTAAGTGAATAAACACATTTGTTAGTTAGGTTTTGCCATCTCATGTGAGACCTTTCTGTATAGCACCTTGAGATTAGAGACACACGCTAATGACTTCCCTTTGGAGAACACTGATGCAATAGTGATGAAACTGTCCAGCTGTGGTTCAGGAAGGGCGGGCTCTTAATATATTGGTTTTACATGACAACGTGTCCTTTGCAAAAGATACAGTACTGAACTGTGTGTCCCCGTGTGTGTGTGTGTGTGTGTGTGTGTATGTGTGAATAAGTATTTGTTAACACGCTGATAAACAAGTGGCACCTTGAACGCCAGCCTTTCACTGGAGCCAAACCTGGAGCGGCTTCTATGTCAAACATAGATTGGTATTTTTTGTTTGATATAGAACTCCATTCAGATTCAGTTCCTCTACTTTACTAGTGACCCTAAACAAAACCATATAAGAAGTGGTGATCTGGATTTGGTTTGATAATACGATTAAGTGTCATTGTGTTTCCAAAAGTACTGTATGTCAACAATGAGACAGTGACTGCTACTCAAAATCAGACGTTATCATTAAACCGTCTAAATGCGTTAATATTTTAATGGGAGATCTGTAACCATCAAAGCAGGAACCAACTAACCATTTGCAAAATTAAAGACCACAACTGTAACATTTGCAAACTCAAGCGGCCAAGCCTGATGACGACTGTGTGACAGAGCCGGAGCGGGTAGCTATTGGGCTCACGCTGAGAGTTAAACCCTGATAGTACCAGCAATAACCCACCAACGAGGGAGCGGGTGACCTGTGTTACGGAGGCCTTGTGCGGTCCAACACTCAGGGCTTTGGCAATGGTGAGGAAAGAGTTATTGGTTGCTGTCGCCAAAGGAATCCAACTTAGGTCCATTTTACCTGAACCCAAGTAAATCTGCGCCTTGAGTCCTCTGGTTGGGTTATTGCCTATTGCGGTTTATTTTCGTTTCTTAGAATTAATAAAAAGCTAATGTGGTTTACAAAATCCTCTCCTTTGCCAAAGATTCTCCTCCGTTTAAGTTTTAGGTGGGGGCTATGTCCTTAATCTCAGAGAGCAATCACAGTTAAATATGTGCATGGGTTTCCAATCAGATGGAATACAAGCAGCTTCACGGGAATGTTTGTCTCTGGTCTCATGGCAAACATGTGGTCACGGGTTTTGCTCAGTGCTGCAGGTTTCTTAATTAAGAAAAGCATGCTCTCTTCGGGATTCTTCTAACTCTGTAATATAAAACCAAGTGACCAGTATGCTGCTTCAAATTACCTTGACTCCTCCCCACTGACCAAAGTACCAACAGACCCTGGCCTAACGCTCACTTTGGAGCGACAGTTTCAGACGGAAGGATGTCTTGCCATCACGTGGTTGTTTTGGCGCTCTTGGCTGTGTTGCTGCTCAACGGTGAGTGTTAATGAAACCTCATTTCCGTGTTTTATTGCCCTAATCTGCATTGTTTGCATTTGCAGGGATCGTAGATTATTTTACTGTAAAATTATTTAATATTTAACATAACGAAGATGCTTCCCATCGCTACAGTTGCGGAGAATGAGGCTGCATCCTTTCCCTGGTCTTGCCCCAGTCTAAGTGGAGCGTGTAGAAAGGTTTGCCTCCCGACAGAACTGTTCTTCGGACCACTGGGCTGCGGAAAAGGCTTCTTGTAAGTTTTGATGTTTAGACGCAAAATGTGAATATATTGAATTGTCAATGCTGATTTTAATATGTTGTTACTTGTTTATACCCAGGTGCTGCGTGTCTCATTTTCTATGAGCGCCGAATGCCTTGCGATAGAAACGCCTGGTCCCTCTTTGCCGTCCTGAGAAATGCCATTTGGCTGCTCTAGCAGATTTGTAAAGCTCCAAGATGAAATTGACGGATGTTGTGGCTAAGGATCCTATTTGGCTTCTTACAATGATGTAACAAGGCGGACTACGCAATATTAAATCAACGGCTTGTAGCTTTTTTGTTGCTTTTAATGTATTTGAAATGGCTGAGGAGGAGTAAAAAATGACTTTAAATGTCCCTGCTTGTTTTGTAATTTGTACATACAACTTTGGTTTACTTGTCTAAATAATTGAAAAACAATTATGATTCACACACTGAACATATGTTGTAGGACAGAAAGGCTGCCACTTATACGGCAAATGTTGTCTCTAACAGCAGTCGTTCTAATTTAATTAGCTGCATGTCTTTTTGGAAAAAGAACTTTGTACAATTCAACAATAACAGGCCAATTAGAGCTGCATTCTTTACGGGCCAACGGGCCGGAGTGAACCACACTCCTTCTGTGCAAAATAACCACTGATTGAACTTTATGTTTCACCATCAGTACATCATCTTAGATGTAATGCAAAAATATAACCTAAATATATATGGGTTGATTTTCACGCTTTCATCAAATTTAGGCTACACACGAACACAGCTGGTGGCAAACCTCAACAAACCTGGTAGATTAAAGCTTATCAGGCAGCTCTTAGTTCTGACACTGCACTTATAATGATGCGAATGGCAAATATATTTGCCATTTTTACCACGGTTAGTTTATAGTGTCTACTAATAAACCAGTAATATCACATTCAAACAGATGTATTGCCATGTAGTTATTTGTTGCTGGATGAGGGATCAAAGCAAATCATTTATGCTCAAAGTAGAATATATATGAATTTGTCACAATGCGTCATTGCTTATGAACTATCTGCATTCACACATCAATTTAGTTGATTCATAGTATTCAGAATTCTTATAACATACATATTTTGCCAGGGATTTGTCAGATACAACTAACTCTCCCAAAAATATATATAACGTGGTTTACTTTTATTTAGTTTTGAACGTGATGCGAGACAGAAATCTTTTTGAAAACCTTTTGAGAGAAACTTACAGGGCACCGTCTAGTTCACACAAATGTGAAAATTAAAAATGTGAAAAGATATTTTGAATCATGAAATAACAACACACTGAGCTGTAGGAGCCTCTGGTGGAGAACAGAGTGTTCTGCTCCCAGCAGCCAGGTGTCGGCCTACTGGGCTGCGTCAGCAACATGTTGAAGCTGCAGGCAAGCTAAACTATCGAACCGCCGTGACTAGACTGGAGTGTTGAATGGAAAAAGTGTGTGTCCTTCTTTGTGATTTCCATTTGTAATCTGTAAAACAATCGTTGCGTTATTTCTTTTTTGAAATTTTTTTTTTCTATCAAAACCTTCTCATGAAGCCCACTTGAATCAACAAATGTATCCATTATTCGACTCAATCCCGATCTGCACCCTTACAAACAAACAGACTTCCCACTGTCAAATTGTTGAGTCTTTGAGGGCTTTCTGGCAAACATGTTGAGCCCGGTATGAAAAGCCTGGAAACAATAAAACCAAGGAGTAAAAGGTTTGAAATAAACACCATCAATTGTACATCATATTGGTTTTCGTTGTCCAGGGAATGGGATACGTTGCAGCAGAGGGCTGTCCCATTTGTATGTATATCATTCAAACCCTACAAACTCTTACACTCAATCATTTAAAACCTTAGTGGGGGGGATCAGGATCGGGCCCGGTGTCTACACAGTGGTAGACACCACAAGTATTGGCAGTGCTGATTACACTACGGTGGGTGAAATAAACCACACAGGAAAAGGTGCTGATATACTCATCTTCAACCCTGACAAGTATAAAGTATTACCATTCGATCATACGTCAAGTTTTACCGTACAAAGTCTTTCAGTCAGCTACAAGAATAAATAGTCAGGGAGGGCAGGTTAAATTTCTGTGGATTCCAGCTCCTGTAAGTGTTAGTGGGCCCATGAAGCGGCCTCTGCTGCTGTTCGTCGCTGTGGCCGCTGGTGGCGCTGTGCCTCTGTAAACTGAGTGATCAAAACACAAAGAAGAGCCGAAGAGCAAGAAGCACAACAAACAAACCTAGCAGCGCGCCAACGATACTACGGAAATCTGGTCACACAGGCAACGTAACTCATCTCCATTACCAAAGATAAACATACTGTTGCTTCATATACTACGTGTTGTGTATGACACGATGTGCTGCAACGAAGGCAGCAATCTGTCAAGTACCGTTTAGTCAAACTGCTCGCGCTAGCTAAACGTCAGCTAACGTTAATCTCGCCCTTTTTGCCCTTTTTTGATTGCAGTGAGAGACTTATCCAGAAAGTAGCTCGATGCTGTGAATAATATAAAGTCGTCGTTAATGGTTTTTCCCATGGTGACATGTGAGAAACGCGGGTGAGACTACTGGGTTTAACGTTACATCACAATCTCCACCGAGCCGATAATCGCAGGGCACCGAGGTTTTTCGCTAACTAACGTTAAGTTAGCTTCACTCCACAACGCTTCCCCGATAACTTTTTTTGTGTTCTGATGTCTTTTTTGTTGTTGCATAGAGTATTTACAATACTTGAGGGCCAAACTATGCTGAGTGTTAATGGCACTCCGGGTTTCAGACTACTTTTAACTATTAATAGCTTAATCGCTTGTCTGGCGTAGCAGTAGCTCAGTTCTCCTTTGCTAGCTAATGGTACAGGACTAGCATCGTAAAACGAAAAAAGCAACCGCAGCAGATTGTTCCTCCACTCACTTCCTGCAGGTTGTTGCCACAGCACCTGGTGCTAAACATATACACTTTATATTTCAGTGTGTTTTCCTGCTCGTAGCGGTCCAAACAAGAGGAAGGAGTTCATTGTTGTCCCCTTTGCCTGGATGCGGGACAGGCCCGAGAACACGTGAACATGTCCACAGATGTGTTAACATCTCGTTGAGCATTCGGCTGTGTTTACCATCTCTGGAACATGCTTCTGCTGAAATCTTTTACATGTTGCTGCGTTTAAGCGTGTCTTTAAGTTGCATTGATTCTTATAAGCCCCACTCTTATATCTTATCACTTATCTTCAACTTGAGCAAAACCACTGCAGATAAGTATATTACAACTATTGATTTGCAGATGATTAATATTATTTATTTTAGTTATTACAACTATATCACAATGGAACATTTGTATTTTCCCCAAACAGAATTGCAACCCCTTTTTAAAAGTGCTGGGCTACGGTTTCCCTCTGCTACTGCATGACAATAGAGTACATGTTAATGTGTGCCGTGGAACCGGTTTTCTGTTCCTCCTTTAACATCCCCAAAGGCATATTCAAAATGGTTCACCATCGGCTTGATTAGTTTCAATCTGAAGGCCCCCTCGCGGATTAGTCACTCTGGATTGTGTGTTACTGTCCTATCTTTTATAGTTAAGCGACCAAAGATGGCTCACCACGGCGTGTGGTGCCCAGGAGCTCAATGGAGTGTCCTTGCAGTGGTTCTCTGCAGCGTGCTGGTTCCGTCACCCACACAGGGCTACATCTATGCTGTAAGTAACCTTCAAACTTCAACTATGAATGTGATTCCTTGGATTCTCCTGTGTGAGTGTACGTCAGTTCTTATACATATGTTGTTTTTGCAGCATTATAGCAACATGACCTCCATGTTGTTTGAAGACCTGCCTGCCTTTTTTGGCCCCCCTCTTCCTAAGGATGGACTAATGGTGAGAGCAGAGTATTGGGGAAAGGGTGCATAGATGAAAACATTGGTTATAGTCCTTCAAGTGACTTTTTTCTGTGTTTGTGTGTTTGTGAAAGGGAGTTTTGATGGTGTCCCGTCCACTCAATGGCTGTACAGCAATAGACCCTCCTCCTCCACTGCCACCATCCTTTGATGCAAACACCACCAAATTCATTGCTCTTATTAGACGCTATGAATGCAATTTTGATATTAAGGTTAGTAATGTTTGAGTGACATTTGAGTATGTTTTGGTCTCCGTAAGGCAAACTGGTCTAATGTGAGGATCTGATTTTCAGGTCTTGCATGCACAGCGAGCTGGGTACAGTGCCGCCATCATTCACAACATGTTCTCAGACAAGCTTCTCAATATGAACTCCAGCAATGGTAAATTTATTTTATAAAATGTACATTTTAAAAGCCTTACACAATCAACACTGTCTTACTAAATTGGCTAAATTGTTTGTTTTTTATTTTCTAGACACTATTGCAGAGGAAATTGAAATTCCGTCTGTATTCACCAGCTACTATGCTTCCCAAATTCTCAGGAATTTTATAATTCCAGAGCAAGGGTAAATTTCTTTTTGTTTTTATATTTAGCATTAAAGGTCAACAGGCCATTCCATAATGTATTGACCTTTTTGGTCCGAGTGCTTACTGTAATGCTGGTATCTGCAGGGCCTATGTGATCCTCAAGCCGGAGTTTGCTTTTCCACTCTCGTACTACCTAATTCCCTTCACTGGAGTAGTTGGCATGATCATTCTTGTGATGTGTGTCGTCTTGGTAAGTACTCATTTGATGCGACGCTTCCCTGGGTGTTAATTCACTATGGATCAGATTCGTAGTAGAGGCCCAACATGAATATGCTGCTTTTTATTTAATATAGTGATCTTTCAACAAAGCTAGAGCCAAATAAGCTTCTTACTTTCTCACTATAACCAGTGAAGTATTGCAGCAACTTAAGAAAACAACCGCCTGTTTAGTGCCAGTGTAGTCCTGATGTCATCAGTAACACTGTCTCTTGTTTTGTTCAGATCGTACGATGTGCTCAGTACAGAAAAAGGATGAGAAAAAATCGTTTGTCCAAGGACCAATTGAAGCGGATCCCAACACACCGGTTCTGCAAAGGTAACCGTTTTCACTGTTACGTCATTGTTTGAATGAATGTTAAGAACCAACTACTGTTGCTTTTTCATTTTTTTTGTGCTGAAACATAACATGTCCCTCAAATTTGAGTTATTAAAGCTTTTCTCCTCTATTGTAGGGGATGACTATGATTTGTGTGCAATCTGTCTTGATGATTATGAAGAAGGAGACAAGCTGCGAGTTTTACCTTGTTCACATGGTAAATATTATACATTTGTTCTCCCAGCTAGTTACTTTTCAAAAGTGTGATATTGTTCTGCAAGGGATCAGGATTTCCATAAAGCAACTTTATCCGTTTTCCTCCAAACTTAAAAAAAATGGCCAGTTTCCTCCTGCACTGCAGACCTGGTTGCTCACTCTGCTCTCTGCTTTTTCCCCCTTTTTTTAGCCTACCACTGCAAGTGTGTGGACCCCTGGCTCACACAGACCAAGAAGACGTGTCCTGTGTGCAAACAGCGCGTTACTCGGAGCAACACGGAGCACTCTGAATCTGATTCTGAGGAAGAAGCTGGAGGACGTGGGGAGGAAGAAGGAACAGCTGGCCAAGCGGACACGGAGCGCACGCCTCTGCTTCGACCATCCAACCCGGGGTCTCCCTCAGGGAGCCCAGGGGCCTATTCAGCCATCACTACCGCCCAGTGCCTCGCCTCCCCCGCGCTCTGCGACTCACCCATCCTGGGCTACGAAGGCTACCACTCCCCCCCGGAGGACACAGACTCCGAAAGTGATGAGGCGGTGGAGTACAGGCAGCACGCCGACGATGACGACACCACTCAGCTCATTGGTAGGGATGGCGTGGAGATCTGATGGTTGGAACATGGCTGCAATGAGATGACTTAGTTTTATCTGAAGGGGGTCTTTGCGTCGTCCCCACTAACCAGAGGAGGTTTGCTTGTTAGCGTCAAAGCACATGAAGCCCGTGCATTGATGAGTTTCACCAAAATGCACTATTGAGCAACCGCCATCACGCACACTCACTCCTGGGCTCCTACATTTTCAGTGTATATCCCCCCCTTTTATTAATGCATGTTTTAATTTGTGACTTGACCACGCCAGGTGACCTAAACACTAGTTCTGCACAAAGGAAATGGGCCTCTTGAATCTAATGTATAAATAAGAGCGTGAGGTTCAGACTGTGTTACTAAATAGAACAGATTCTGTGCTCACACCTGTGGTGGTTCTTAAGGTGGTACTGTATGTACGGTTATGGTGAGGTTAGTGCAGTTTGAAGGTTCTCTGTTGTCTTAATCATAATAATTTTACCTATTATTTTTTATTAGCTTTGCATCATTTCCGAATGTGCACGTGAAGGGGAAATTATTGTCTTTATTTGATCTTTTAATACCCGTAACTCTGATTTGTTTAGCTACATTTCTGTTCTTTGAAATGTCATATTTTTCCCATAGTTAACAACGCAATAGTAGGTTATCGCAAAGATGTTACACATTTCTGCTGCTTTTAAATTGCTATTGAGGATTATTTGTGCTCAGTTTTTGGAAAATATGTTTAGCTTTATCCAGTTTGTCAAGTTGAACAAACTCAGGTTTTTATTAACCAACGGATGGTCAGTCCGTATTGTAAATTAATAACAAACCAATAGTTGAAAAGGTTTGTCCTTTTTACATTATTTTACCTATTTGAACCAGTAAAATGTAGCTTGATTAATTTTGAATTACTTTTTTCCCCAATTTGTATATAGACCGAATCATAACAGTTTGCGGGACCCTGAAAGTGTTTTTAGGAAAAAAGGAGCATTGCCTTACGTTGGCCTTCTTTTATATGTTAACTGTTTGGAAATTGAAGGGAAAGATTTCACACTCCTCTTGTTTACCTCTTGTCTTTTATTTAACACTTTGATTTTGTTCCCTTGTATGTAAATCTGTTCTTCTTTTCTGTTCAAAATGATCAACAAGACAGAGAGCTTGTGTTTCCACATATTTAGTGTGATAGTAATAATACAGAAAGCTGGATCCAAACGGGGCCATTTACATATTCAAAAGTATAATTCATATTCATTTTTAACGCTGCTGTCAAATTTCATAAAACGACCTGGATGAAGTCCTTGTGTTGATTTGTATGAGAAACATAAACATGTTCAAGCCAAACTATTTCTGCTGCTCCAAATATATGCACAGGGTTGAAACATGGATCAAACATGGTATTTTCATTTTTATTTTTACTGTTTATTTCCTTAGTTTGTGGACATTATTAAGCAAAGTGCAAACTCACCCACACCCTATTCGCCCAGGCGGGATTATACAAACGTGACCAGTGTTTCTCCTGTGTTCATTTCTCTTTGCTCCACCACTGGCTGAAAATTTAAAATAGGTCATTTAAATTTAAGGTAACAGAAATATTAACAATTTGAAACTGTATAACCTTAGCTTGACCTAAAGCACGTGGGAGAGAACAACATGGCAGCAAATGATCACAGAGGAAACGCTGCGTGTTCACATTCTGTTGATGGTTTCTGCAAGTTGCATTCATTGTTAAAGGAATCAGTAGGACTCCCAAATCAAAACATTCCATCTTTATATTTTTCTGAGGACATAACTTGATTAGCAATCGGTCGGGACGGGTTAGCATTACTCTGTTAGGAAAAATAGAATGTTTTTTTTTCTCTCTTATTTGTATGGTGCGTTTTGGTTTTTAGCTCTATACGTCTCCATTTTAGAGACAAATGAAAAATATATTCCCCAAATTATTATTATTCTATTCTTTTAGAATGGGCCGACTGTATCACACTTACATAATAAATGTACAGTCAAGTATGATTTTCATGTATAGGGCAGGTTTGACAATCGGTAGGATGTCTGAACAGTCCGTGAAACTGCATTTAATGTTTGATTTGTGGAAGATTAAATGATATTGAAATGGGACTTTGTCACTTTTGATTGTTCAGGGTTAAAAAAATGAACTATTTTCTTGCAGTGGCCTACATAATCATTTTGTTTCATAATAAAGCCATTATCAAGCATATTTTACTAAATGGTTATTTTGTGCACATGTTCTACCTTTTTGAAAAACACCTTCATAAATAGGTTTAAATGCTAATATGCAGGAGAAAGTATAATTCCTCAAAAAATATAAGATGAAATCCTCTCCATTAAGGGGAATAAGGATTTATAATTTTAGATTTACTAACTATACTATCTTTTTCTTCACCTTCCGACCCCAGTGAGCTCAGATTTAAGGAAGTTTGAAATTAAATAATGAAAATAATAATCTTTTGTAAAAGCGTGGCTCACCGCAAAAAAGCTTCTGGTAATTAATTGCAGGTCTCTGATGGTGCTGCCGTCGGTCTAATGGACACCCTGCTGAATTTAGTACTTCAGGTTCTTTTACCCTCATCAGAGAATAGGATTAACCCTATTCTTATGATCTTAAATATGTCTGTTATCTCTAAATTAACCAATATTGTAATAGTGGTGAGTAATTGACCAAATACCTGCCCTGGATTAATCAAATACATTACATTTTTTTTAGAATGGCATCATTAAAGTTTGCGGTACAATGTGCACATTGTTTCTTTTCAGAAGTTTTCTGATTAACGTCAGAATGTCTTAAATCAGTACAAAAACAGGCTCAAGGCATTAATATGTGTGTTCTAAAGGTAGCTTCCTGCTTTTAGTTGTCAGAGCTATTAAGACTTCCCACAGTTAATTCATTCAGTCCTTTAATCCCTCCTAACGAGCTCCACGTCTTTTCATTTTCACTATTTCGTGTTCCGATAATCACGTCACCTGCTGCTTTGGAGAAAGGGCCATTCACATTCGAGCCGAATGAACGTTCTCCATATCGGTATGTGTGAGCGGCATGGGCATTGGCTGGATTATGGAATGCGTAGGCCGGTGTGCTTCTTTAAGTCTGTTCCACGCATGTAGCCTGTCATGTGGACTTGGGTTGTAATAGATGAAACATAAAAGAACCTATGAAGCGTTATTCCTAGCACAGAACCTCAAGTTTGCTTTTTCCTTATTGCATTTGGGGTTTAAAGCATTATAAATAGTTGGACCTTCAATCTTTGCACTAACAAATGCAGTCATAGGAAAAGATGCCTGGATTGCTGCCGCCCTGCTCTTCTTTCTTGCTATTTTTAACTGTATCTTCATTGGTGCGGCTTGATTCCAGAAAAGCTCCCCAAGACCACAACGAGGTATGGCAGACATTTTTAGTTTTATCCATCCCTTTAATTTGAATTGGCCACCCGACCCTCATTACTGAAAATGCATGATTTATTATTATATAGCTCACTGAATATTTTCACGAGGACCTTTCTTGTTTGTCATTATTTTTGAAATGCTGTATCATTAGTTTTTCAGAAATACGTGAGTTAGCTTAAAATAAAAGAAAATGGCATGAGTTTTTAATGTCAAATGACAAAGCGCATTCTACCCAGTTTAAATGGTCAGGTTTTCCCTTTGTTACTCCTAAAATGTATCTTCAATATGTTATGCTAAATGAAGAGAAAGTAATAATTGATTACGTGTTGATAGTTTTTTTTGGATAGTTCTTACCAACCACACCTTGTCTCCAGTCGTTTGGAAGCCAATGGAGGAGCCGCAGCAGACTTTGAACTTGGATCCCGGGATGGCCGCACCTTCCCGCAACGACCGAAATCTGAATTTATCCTGGAGGGTACTGAAGAGTGGCCACAACTAATCCAGGATTATATGAGGCACCAGTTAAAGTACAGAGCGAGGACAAAGAAAAGCACAAAAAAGGATGTACTTAGCAGTTTATTGGATTATGAAAGTAAAATGGAATAGTATAAGAGTTCTAATAAAATATTGTTCAAACACCAAACTCGCTGTCGCTGTGTTTTTTCTTTTACACGTGTTCCACAACGCCACTCATCTGCTGTTAACATTTGATTTGGAGGATGTTAAATGCTCACATTACAAAACAAGGTGTTCCAATTAAAGAGATTCCTCCCAAAGTGTTTTGAGTACAAGATGTCAGAGAGCTTCAGCAGACCGAGCTCAACAAATTAAGTGGAAATCTTGAAAGCTCTGTGAAATATCCTTTTGATTGGACTAACTCCCAATGCTGAAGCCTCATATTATATTAACTTAATGGAAAAGCATAAATGTTAAAATGAAAAAGTCTGATTTAAATATTTGATGCTGGCTTTTGATTCTGGTAGATTGTAAATAATAATTTATTATTTTGACCATTTAATAGTATTTCCTCCTAAATTTAAATTCAGGGAAAAGTGTCCCTCTTGAGTCTATGGATGGGATTCATGAATTCACAGGCTGCTAGGATCTTTGTCTGACATTAGTTTTTATTGGAAAATAAACATAATCCGCATGGTAGCTGCGTTATTTATTTAGCAGCTTTGTTGATTTATAATTGACTCACAATCTTACGAGTATGTATGTGTACAGTGTGGATTCAGAGTTTCCCCCTACCAGATTATCAATAACCCCCTCTCCCTCTATCTGGGTCGACCGAACCGTTTGCTGCACTACAAGGAATTGTTTAAAAAAAGGATTCGCGGGATAAAAATACATATGATAGGATTTATTGTGTAATAACTGCAGACAGTGTGGAATGAGGTTACTTTAACGGGAGAAATAATACCATTCTGATCCACACTTCCTACCAGCTGGGGGCGGTAGGAAGTGGTAGTTTTATTTTCTGCTGCGGCCTGATTACACGTAGAAGAAGACTAAGGGCAGGAAAGGGAAAAAGAGGTGAAGATAACGCACCGAGAAGATATTAACGTCAATTGTAAGGTATCAATGTGCTCGTTTGTATTGTATAAATGTTGGATAAACTAACACAAGCCCAGTTCTTCTAGTTTTTAGCAGAAGGAATATTATCTTACTTAAACAGACCAGGGTGTTTTATTTCTTATAGCTAGCGTTAGCTAACGTAGCTCTTTAGCTAGCGTTAGCTAACGTAGCTCTTTAGCTAGCGTTAGCTAACGTAGCTCTTTAGCTAGCGTTAGCTATTGTAGCCTATTAGCTAGCGTTAACTAACCCACACTACAGTAACTTCTCCCCTTGTTTCTACTCCAGGAGCCAAACCTTTGTCTGCTCATGTGTTGCAGCTTTCATATCTCACAGTCGTTGGTCATTTGTATGTCAACCTCTGATAGTAAATGTGTTTGTGGAAGACACGGACTTAACGTTACCACAAACGCTAGCCTTGTGGAACAATATCCATGCACCCTCATTTAACTTGAGCTATTTTATCTCCACATTATCGATCGATACCTCCCACAACAATGGAGTCAATTATCATTACCACAGCAAAACTCACAAGTACGTATGAATACTTTTTTATGTAGTTAATTAACCGTTAATAACGTGCGTGCCCGTCTACCAGCAGGCTCCTTGTTCCAAACGACAACGTCAATGGTCGCAATTTTCTAGTTTGTCACGTTTACGTGATTCTTTGCATTGCGCGTTCGCCACGTTAACAACAATCCTACCATAACAAAACGTGACTACTGTAGGATATTAGAAACAAATATACGACCCGGTTCATAAAATGAAAATGCATATAGTGTACACCCGAATACAGCCATGATTCTGAAACGGTGTAATCAATAAAGTAATGACAATATTGTAAAACCACTGTAATTCTGCAACTGTAATGGAATAATACCAATGTAGTTATGATTGTATTTGATGTAATGTAATCAACTGGAATGCATGCATGTAATACTTGAACAACAACTGATATTGACTAAGGGCCATTCGAAATCCGAGTTACATTGAACTCACCAGAAGACCACTCCCAGAGGTGTGGACACTAACTTTCACACCTCTAAGCATTGTCATAAATACCTGTAGGAACCATTGTTCTCGAGTTTGCTGGTGGAGACAACAGATGGGCACTAGGGATGGTCAATAGGACTGACCTGGACCCTGTTGGTTGCTGAGACCAGCGGCTCCTCAGCTGAGATGTTCTTTGATTTTAACCTTTTGATCAGGATCTGCGATGACCTCTGTCCGTCCGGCGTTTCTTCATTTTTGAATACAACACTACTTAATTTGACCGTGCCTCCCTTATTTTTTTCTTCTCGGAGATGGGAGACAGTGACGATGAGTACGATCGCAGGAGACGGGACAAGTTCCGACGCGAGAGAAGTGACTACGACCGCTCAAGAGAGAGAGAAGACCGGCGCAGAGATGACTGGAACGACAGGTGAGGCGGAGAGATGTGCCGCAGCCCAGAGGACCATCATGCAGACATCTCCACTCTACCTGGCTTACGAAACGCAGATAAACGGTGGCTCCCTGGTGCCAGCACACACTGAGAGTGGCTAAGTTTGGAATATCTGTTGAATTTAAATGCTTGTTGCTTTTTGGATTTTCCAGGGAGTGGGATAGGGGAAGAGAACGACGTAGCCGTGGAGAGTACCGGGATTACGACAGAGGTCGTAGAGAGAGATTCACCCCGCCCAGACACGACATGAGTCCTCAGCAGAAACGCATGAGAAGAGACTGGTGAGATTACCCGCAGAAATAATATCAACAATCTTTGCATCTTTTATCTGTTGTTCTTATGCTCTTTTGACTGTCCCTGGCAGGGATGACCATGGCGGAGAGCCTTACCGCGGGGGTTACGACTTAGGTTATGGTGGTGGTGGTGGTGGCGGCGGCGGCGGCGGCGGTGGTGGTGGTGGTGGTGGAGGTGGAGGTGGCGGCGGCGGCCATGGGGGAGGAGGAGGGCCAAGCTATGGCCCGCCACAGCACTGGGGTCATCCTGACTTGCACCTCATGCAGCCTCATCATGGCATCCCTATTCAGGCGAGGTGAGTAATGGAATCAGGGTTGAGTGTGTTTGGGCTTTGCACTTACATTTTGTTTTTCACGTCTATAAGGATTCAATATTAACTCTCTGATAATTCATGCAACCTATTATCTATATCTGGTTGTGAATGTTAATGTTATTTTGTTAGACAAATCACAATGGCCTGAAAGCAAATGGGACATTTCACTGTAAGAATTCCGTTTTCC